TTGGGTTGCACCTCATAAAGTACATCATTTCTCTCACACCGCTGGCTTTTGGACGTCTTGATAAAAATGGACGAGGAAGATGTTGTGAGGGTTTTTATGTTCAAGAACAAACGCAAAGCTTATGGAGCATAGAAAACTTTCAGCTGACATTCCACTTTTTTTTCCTTCGTCTCTCATTCAATGTGAATTAAATGTAAGTCCTTTCTCTGCTATTTATGTCTGTTTGAGGGAATGAAGCCCTTTAAGAGGCTTGTCACTTTTAATATCACACGCATTTCAACAAAACTTCGGTACACAGATGTGATGTTTGAACCAGAAGCACAAGATATTCTACAAATGCTCTATCGAGTATCTAAAAGCATAAAAGTTTTATTTTTACAATGCCCGAAATTTTTTTTTCTTTCCTTTTTCATTTCTGTTTGAGCTCCTCGTGACTATAAAAAAAAGATTTTAACAACACACAATACGAATATGGTCCTTTTTTTGCAGCTTAATAGAAAAAGTTAATGTACTCTCCTACTTTCAATTTGTCTTGGTGGTTTTTTAGTCGAATTTTATGTCATTTTTCTGTCCTGAGCATCTGTGTCTATAGATTTGATGTTATTCTTACTTTTTTAATTCCATGATTGTGACAAAAAGTTTTGATGATGATGATCTGCTCTTCTTGCTGCGGCTTTTTGTATCCTCCTTCAAAATTCATGACTGAGCTTTTGTACTGTCATAATCTTAATCTTCATCTGGACTTCGTCTAGGGATTGTGTTAAGGCTATACCCTATTCACTTATGCCTCTGCTACTCTTTAGTTTGACATTCCAACTTGTGTTGTTCTCACACTCATGTTCTTTTATTTTACAAGCATTCGCATACAGTTTCGGAATTTTTATCGGCTAGTTGTTGTGTATGTAAGAATGCGTACGGATGTAAACATGCTTATATTTATTTCTTCAATCCCTTCTTATCGATGAGTGAAATAAAAGAAATAAAATAAAAAATGAAAGAAAGCCAGCAAGTACGCATTTGGGATATTTATTTATGTTTCGAATACATGTGGCAGTTCCATTCTCCTTCAGTCTCTTATGAGTATTTGATTTTTCATTCGAATATCAAAGGGATAATGCTCAATTGTGACTTTTTTCGGATTTATCTTCTTAGTCTTCGTTCAACCTTTCTTTGCTCTAGTCAAGTGCTTCTCTTTACCTCTCAAAGTCACCACTGAATAAATATTATGAGAACAAAATGAAGCTCGAATACTCTTTCAATGTGAATAACGATTGTCCTCATTTTTTTGGCACAATTCCAATAAAGTTGTGGTCAGTGAGAGGCACTTTGGATAAGCACGATGATGATTGTCCACTTTTTATTTGATCTTGATGTGGCTAAAGGTCTAGTTTGCAGGAAAATTCTACAAAACCGTTAAATTAGAATTTCAGATTTGAATTAACCGTTCAAAATTTGAATTTTACAAAACCGTTAATTTTTGAATCTTACAGAATCATTAAAGTTTAAAACTTACAAAATCGTTAAAGTTTGAGTTCTACAAAACCGTTAATGTTTAAATTTTACAAAACCGTTAGCACAAACTACTTGAATTATAAATCATAATCAAATCAATGCAAAATATGCGCTCAACAAACTCACTTCCAATAAACCAAACTCTTTAATACCAGTTTATATGATGCAGTAGCTATATCCGATTTTCTACACTGTTAGTTTGCTGATGAAATTTTTACTCGAACAGGTTTCTGATACCCTTTTTTATTTATATCACTACAGATGTATAGGATCGTAAATGGATTAGATTTTTTTTTCACCTTCACCTTTACTCTTTATTCACAACAGCATCGTAAAATTCTTTTTATGAGTTCCACGTATATCGATGCTGAGTGAAAATATCTCTCTTAAATATGTATACACGCACATATTAGCTTTGCCATTGTAATTTAGTTCCAATATTTGTATTAACAGCATTTCTCCATGTATGGATGTCGAAAAAAAACAATCAAATTTTGATGGCTGCGTGAATTAGCGATAATATATCATATGATAGATTATATACGTCTATATAGATTGCGAGAATCATATCATCAAATTGGAAATTGACATGTATGTAACAATGCTTGTGGCATCATATCATAAATTCGATATATTCGAAATTAATTAATTATTATCGTTTCAAAACCAATGAGTGAGGCGAGGGAAATCAAGCAATTGAAAATATAGAAAATTATGGAATTGGAAATTAAAATATTTTAATTTATGACGACTAATGAGACCGCAATATTATTTGCTGTAGGTTATGGTTAACTGCAATTTTATAGCATTTTGTGAAATTGTTTAGAAAATTAATTTTTTTGGTCTGCTATATTTGATTGACGATTTATGTGGTATTAAGGTTTTGACCCCCCCCCCCCCTCTCCGACCTCGGGTATTCCCCTTCATCTGATTATGTTTTTACAAATTAAAAGATAAATTTTTTAGAAACCCATTGTTAAAATCATCTTTGACCAACCCCCCTTGGCCCCACCCCCCTCTTTTAAGAATGTAATAAGTGATATCTCCACTTAAAATACCATCTTTATCCACAAATATTGTCTACAATAATTCAGTACATTCAACAATTTCATTGAATTTTATTAAAAAGCCTAAGGGGCCGTTCATTTATTACGTAACGCGAAAAAAAGACTTTATAGACCCCCCCTCCCCCCTTCGTAACAAAATTTGTATGAAAAAAAATTTCTTTTGTTTGAACCGTAACAAAATCTTAGACCTTCCCTCCCCCATAAAAGCGTTACGCAATAAGTGAACCCCCCTAAATTAAAATCCCATATATTTCGTCAGATTTCTTGAGGATTTTCCCAAAATTTATTATAAGTTCCAACCCACTCCACAACATCAAACTTCTATTCTCATTATGAAAATTCCAAAAATACAAGATTAATATCTCATAAATTCGAATAATACAGAATTGAAGCTTAATAATCCCAGTAGGTGAAAAAGCATGATAATAAACCTTCTCATCTTCCTTAAACATTCCTTAATCGTATTATGGATAATCCTATTAAACTAATTATGAAACAAAATAACAATTTATGGAAAAAATTGAATGGCAATATCCCACAAGACGATCCTTTAAATTGAGCAAGTATAATGAATTCGAGTTTGGCAATAAGCTGCTACTGCTGCTGTTTGAACAATTGTGTTCGCCAGGCAGAAATACACACACAATCATACAAGTCAATTACATTTAGCCAACATTTAATTTCTCTCGAGAATATTTCACGCTTAAGGGAGGCCCACACAACATCATCATCATCATACACACCATCCGTTCATTCATGTGCTTTATAAAAGATTATGTGTCTATGAGAAAGAATATAAAATATTTGAAATATGGGAATGGAAAAAGAAAAGGAAAAAAAAAGTTTTATCGAATTGAGTATTCCATTGGCACTATAATCTTTTAATCTCTCTTCCCAATCTCAAGGTGTAAGTATGTATACAATATATGCCTTATAGATGTATGATAATAGCTACAGAGAGGCAATAAAAGTCAGACCAATAAAATACGGAAAGAAACTAATTTATGGATGGAAATTAGAAAGCTCATGCTGAGGTGCGTTTCTCCGATAATATATATAAAAGCAGGATAAACATCATGTACGCCAAGTGAAAGCATAATTCAGACTTTCGATTTGACATTAATGGTCTTCACCAATGTTGGCACAATGAATTTATTTTTAGCACCTTTTTAGAGGATTTTATTGGCAATCCTTTCAGTCAATTTGGATGGAATGTTGTTGGCATTTACTTAATTGAAAATGTTCGATAATCATTGTATGATTTTTGGGGACAAATTGAGAATTAAGTATTAAAATGTGAAGAAAGTTCATTAAATTATTAAAATTTTGAATAATTAACGGGTTTTCGGCATTTTAATGCTTGCTGAATATTGCTGAATTGAAAATTGAATTTCTGAATTTCGTTAAAAGTGATTGCAGATGATTAAGCTATATTCTGATCATATTGTACTCAATTCAGCTATTAAATATCAAATTAAGTAGAAAAAGAGTTTATTTGACAAAATTAAGCTGAATTTAGACAAAAGAACAAAAAATTGAGCTGCGTTCAGACAAGTCATGCTGAATTTAACTTAATTTGAACAAAAATAAACTGAATTGAGCTGAATTCAGACAAAAACTATAATGAATTTAGCTGAATTCAGAAAAAATTACATTGAATCTGAAGCTGAATTCAGACAAAACAACCACAAATTAATCAAAGCTTGTCAAATGAAGCCTTTAATTAATTTTATTAAAGCTTATTAATGTCGAATTCATGAATTTTGATTAAATAAACAAATTAAAAATGATTATTCGATGATTTTTGAGTAATTAACGTAATTAATGCATAATGCAGCTCAAATGAGCTTAATTCAAATTAAATAACATGATACAGACCTAAATTAAGCATAACAAATTTGAACAGAGCTTAAAAAATATTAAATTTCATATTGCATTCCGTTGAACAAGACCGAGCAATAAAAATGAATTTAATTAAATTTCCTTCCGTAATTGGAGACTCAGCATACACCTAGCACGTGCATATATACCGAAAAAGCTTCCAAACAGTCATTTTCTATCAATAAAAACACTTGAGAACGATACTTTTCCTACTTGCTGCTTCAATACGTATGAGGTGAAGCGATTTCCTATCGAAATGGGAATAAGAAAAAAACTTTTATTTTATTGAAGAAATTAATTTTATGTTCTTTAACCTTCTTATTTTTCATTTGCTATTCTATGAAAACATTATCTTTCTGCTTTCACACCCTATTTTATCTTTATACTCATTTCATACCGAACGTTTATATTCTATAAATATATAAAGTAGGAAGGAGATTACATTAGCTGTTTTTTTTTTGTATGAATGTGACAATAATCTCTCTTCTTATTCCTTACAATTTTTTCTATAATAATTTTTCTCTCTTTCTTCTGTTTCAGACACCTGAAGACTGCTCATCTGGCACCGACTGTTTGCCAATGATCATCTCATGGGAAGGCTCAAGCGACATTCAATCCGGTGACGTTCTGATTGTGGAAATTGATGATAAACTTTTGATATCAACGGATAAGAGAAATAAATCTGATGATGGAATGTAAGTCACTTGTATCCTGCCACCTTACTAAGGCGTGCTTAAAATGTTGAATGATAATGAAGTGAAAGCTCATTTAATTCATTTTTGTGAAGGTATAAAAAACGAGGAACTGGCCATAAAGTTTAATCATAAAATTTTCAATACATAAATTTTCGATGGTCATTAAACTTCCTTGATTTTCAATTATTTTTATTTGATTACTTAAGACGAAATATAATATTGGAAATGGAAAAGTTTGTTTGCGTTGGAGTTTGACAGCATTCAATATTATCAATTTTATTTATATTTATGGTTCAAAAAAAGGCGCTATTTTAATTAATTGTGTTAATTAATTAAGAATGCGAAGGGAGATTTTTCATCTTAGTACATTTATTTTTGTCTTAAGCATTGTGCTCATTAGCAATTAGCTGACTTTCATTATGTTTTTTTTTTCATCTTCGATATCGAATTATTAAGAAGAAAATTAAGGATTCTTTGGTATAATAAGAGGGTGAATGCTGAAAAGCTACTAAAAGCATTGGATTTCATTTTTTTTTTGTTTTGGGGATGAACAAATGGATTTTGGGCAGCTTTTTGGGCTTCGTTGATTCGAGTTTTGTGACTCTTTTGTTGAACAAATACGTAAAGCGTTGTTTCGTTCAACAAAGCTGCTATACATCTAGAATGAATTATATAGAATGTTAATATTTCAAAGATTTTGGTTATGGCTTCGTGTATTAGGCTTGTTAACTAAATACTGAGGTATTTTAATGAGATGAATCTACTTTGGTTTGTTTAAGTTTGCTTAAATGATCAAATGTTAATAGCAACCACTAATTTATTCACCTTTAGCAACTTAAAGAGCTGTAAATTTACAATTTGAGAAGTGATGAATATTTTTCATCATTCATATTATTATCATAATTTCACGTAGGTATTTTTTTTTTGATTTGTTTGATTTATTTAACAATTTAATATCTTTAATTCTCATATAAGTTGAAAAATGCTAATCAACAAATAACGTATTTTTTCATTTTTGAATTTCTAATATTCGAATATATATTTGCCCAACCCTAATTATTTGTATATAATTTTACAATTGAGATACAAAATATAAATTTTTATGACTAGCTATATTACATTACATTCTATTAATTTCACAATAAGATTCGTAAAAATGCTCCTTTACTCTAGTTTCAAATATATTTAATGAGAATTTATTCTTAATCAATGGAGGTAGAGAATTAAATAAATTAAATGCTCTAACTTAAAAATCCTGATTGCTTAAGTGCGTTTGATAGTTGGGAGTTACAAAATTTTCTCGGGTACGCGTTCGATATCTATGAACATCATTGACTTGTCAAAACTGAATGTTATTCTTAACCATATTCGATGATATTTTAAAAACATGTAAGCAAAGATTGACGTTACAGAGTGTTGACACTGGAAGGATATTTATGCTATATAATTCTTTTTTGCTACAGAACCAGTCCTTATTAAAAAGGATCCTTAGTGTTTTTCTTTGTGTAATTTTGATCATGTTCATCGCGTATGCAGGTGCTGCTGACCATATGATATTCATATAAATTAGTCTTGATTGAATAAAAGCAAAGTAGAGCATTAGTGCTGTATATCTATGTGGGGAGTACTTACTAGCTAGTGACTTGTCTAAAGCTCCAAAGAAACTAAGCAAACAAAGAAAATTTGAAATTAAATAATTCGGTAAAAATGCAGCCAACTTCATTGTATAGTTTAAATCTAAAAGAACTTATAACCCAATGATTAATGTTTACCAAGACTTATCAAAATAATTCCACTAGTAACTTAATATTGCATCTCTTGGATAAATTAAAAAATACAGCAGAATAAGCCTCAATATTTCACCAAATGTAACATAAGACTTTTCTGTAGCCATTTCAGAGTTTCTAATTTCAATTTCAAGACATCAGAAGTGAAAATGTTATGGCAAGAAATGTATTAAATAAAAGAAGAGCAGCTTGAATATAAATGGCAAAAAGAAAATAAGAAGGAAGTTAAATGTACATAAAAATGCTTAAAAACGACAGAAACAAAGCAAAAATATTATAAAAGAAAAAAGTAGAACGTAAATTATTAACAAACATAAAAATTCACCGCATGCTTCATCACTTTTATGATAATAGAACGTTCTTATGCTAAAAGCAATAGAAGGAAGAGAAATTATGGAAATGTATAAGCAAAAATTGCCTTTATTGCTGCCGTCACAAATTTAAGCAATGCTTCGTCAAGTATTTGAATAAATTTCATTGAAATGGGAAAAATATCTATTAACATGACAATTCTATCGTTAAATGTGCGTTGACTAAATAAAAATGGCAATCAACAAATCCTACATTCCCATTCCATTTCCATCGTTTATTATCGATTCAGTCAGTTTATCATTATATTCTTCCGTTTTGTCTACCGATTTCTATACTGCATATTTCCATTATTTTGACAAACTCTTGGCAATTGAATAAAATTGGCCTTGCCGAAACATGAAAATCATATCGAAAATATATGATAATTTTTTTCTGTTTTGTGAAGAGTGGCAATAAAATGGTTTTAAGTGCTGGGTGGAGAAATTGGTGAATGTTTTGAAGGGCACAAAGGATTTTTATAGTCGGCGATGCGTTTGCAAGAAATGCGTTGTTTGCAAGGAATGTCCAACTGGGAGCTTTGTTAGCATTAATAGTAACGTAAATGCACTTGTTTCTGTTAATCGGCAGGTTTTATTAATAATTTCTTAGTTTCATACCCCTTCAAAAACTTTAGTTTTGTATCCCTGAAAAATCGTAGTGCTTCTTCAAAATTGCATAGTTTTGTTCTCCTGTAACCTCAAATTCATAGTTTCATGCCCCTTTAAACTTTTGGATTCATAGTTTCATGCCCCTTAAAAATTTTGGATTCATAGTTTCATGCTCCTTAAAACTTTTGGATTCATAGTTTCATGCCCCTTAAAACTTTAGGATTCATAGTTGCATGCCCGTTAAATTTTCCAATTCATAGTTTCATACCCCTTAATTTTTTCAAATTCAGAGTTTCATACCCCTACAATCTCAGGATCATAGTTGAAGCTCCAAAAATCCTAAATTCACACCCCTTTGAAATGTATTCAAACTCTTCCCTATATTTTAAGTCATAGGATTCTTAAACCCCTCTAAATAAAGAAGGTTAGACTATCCAATGTTATGAAAAACATCATCTATGAACAAACCCATTTGAAAAAAAATAAGAAAATTCTGCTTTCCTTGCCAAAAAGTAATTTTTCATTTCGAAGATTGTTCTTGTGCTAAACCAACAGACATTAAATTCTATTTTTCTGCTGCTTTCTATTTACTTACTTAGGGAAAAATTTTCCACTCGAGTGTGTGTATTTCACATATTTACAAACACATGTATGAATCTCATGAGATGTGATTTATATAATTATTTTCTTCTTCATGGTCTGTCTGCTTTGAAGATTTAGCGTGGGATGACTGGTGAATTTTGACTTCAAGATACAGTCTCGGTTAACCTCAAAATATTTTTTTTGAAGAATAAAAAAATGTATATTTTTCAGCAGAAAAGTTCATTTCTATCAAAAGGATCATCAACTTACACGTCCATAATCCACTCGACCCTCGTCATGCTTGACGGATCATCAAAACTTTGAAAACAATATAAAGTCTTCAATCTCTGAATTTATGTCTGTGAAAATCTTTTCTTTACGTATTTTTGCTTCTTCTTACATATTTTTTTTTCTTAAGAGTCAGCATTCAGGATTGAAGGGAGGAAAGAAGATGCTCATGATTGTATAGAATGAAAAGAATTTTCTTTCTCTTCTCTTTTCAATTCCAACATAAGGAATTTGTGTACAAAGGAATAGATTAATGAAATATTAAATATTTTTCTTTAATCCTGTAAGGATACTAAAGTGATCTGTTACTATCTGCTCTTATAGCTAGAGGTATTGAGATTATTTAAAGGATTTTTAATAAGAGAAGTTCGTTGTTAAGGAACTTGAATCAAAAATTCTTGAGAATCAATGGATAGATATTGAGATGAGCTGAAGGATAAGTTGTGATTACTTAAGAATGTCAGAACAGGAAGTTGGCCAGTGAATGTTATAAACAGATGAGATATGTTGTCTGGTTCTTTGTTATTCTCAAATTAGGCAGAGCTTGATCTTACTTGCTTACTTCCTTGATTGGGGCGCATGTGAGCCCATTGCCGTATCAGTGATCGTTTAAAGACAGCTCTATCCTTTGAGACATTCTTCCAATTCGGAATATTTGGGACTCTAGTTCTCTAGAGCTTGATCTAGATTATTTAATTCTTAGTATTGTAACTAGATGCTTCATATTGACATAACAAAATGCGACATCACTTCCGACTAGTTTCCATCGAAACTCATAAACGCCCCTTTTGGATATCGTTCCAATAAAATAATCCATGTCATTCGAAAAATTCAATTTTATTAAATCTTATTTTCTTCTTCCTTATCCCTTTTTACCCCTTTAGTAAAACTGTCTTCTTCCTTTAACAGGAAAGAAATAACAGCAATAATAATGACGAGTAATTTTTTTCTTCTTACAAAGAATGAAAATTGCGTGAAAAGAAGGGATTGATTGCGATGGGATGAATTTGTCAAGGAATGAATCAATAAATTAATGGCAATCTTTTTATACGTGTTAAATAATTTAGACGTTGATGGACTTTGATGCCACATCAATGAACTCACGATTGGGATAAGAAGGAAAAGCAAATTTATGCCTCATTCCATCATAATTTCTTAGGAAGCAACAATAACAGAATCACTTGAGATTCATTTCACATCTTTTGCATTTATATTCGGTAATCAAAGTTTATGGAATAAATTCAAAGATTTTTGGTCTATATCTTGTTGATTACGAGACTTGGAAAGGGATATCTTCTCAAAATAACAGCATAAAAAGAATTATAATGCCTCATAATGTTTAGGAAAAGGATAGATAGTCGAAGAAAAAAGCTTCACGAAAGACGATCATTAATCATTCAATTTCCTCTTTTATTTCTAATTCTCTTTTATTCTCTGATGAATTTTTGCTCTTTTATTTCTTTTATGTTTATTTCATTTAATTCATGGATATGGAAATGGGGGATTCTATGAGTTCAAATGGGATTACCAGAAGAAATTTGACTTAGCTTTTGTTGTTTGAAGTTCAAAAACTACGATATGACAGTAATTTTTCTGCCATAAATATAATTGTGAAACTTTTTACATGCAAATAAAATGGATAAAAATTCTTTTTCAATCTGACCATACTCCTTTTCTGTATCTGACAGACAACGCGAAGCAAAGCTAATAATTTTATTTCCTTGTTTTAAACATGCCCCTAAACCGTATGACGAAGCATCAGTTTCTAAAATTATTGGCATATTTTCATCAAATGTTGTACATGTCGTGACATTTTTTAATACTTCTTTAATGTTTTCAAATTCAGCTTGATGATTGTCAAGCCATAAAAATTCACTGTCCTTTTTCAATAAATTACGTATATTTACTGTTAAAGAAGGTACATTAGGAATGAAATCCCTGATATAATTGACTACTCCTAAAAACTTCTGCACATCTTCTAGATTTTTAGGATTCGGAATATTGTTAATTGCTGAAATCCTTTCTGGATCAACATCTACTTTTTTCTCGGAAAAGATATGGCCAAAGAAATTTACTGAGCTTTGTGTAAATTGTAATTTTTTTCTGATTGAACTTTACACCTGACTTTAATGCCCTGACCATTAATCTTCCTAAATTCTCGTCATGTTCTTTAAGCGTTGTACCAGTAACAATGATATCGTCAATATAAAATTTGACATCAAGTAAATCGCCAAAATTATCTGTCATGTACTTTTGGAAGATTTCTGATGCAATATTTATCCCAAAAGGCATTCTATTGAATTGCCACAAACCGAAAGGAGAACTAAACGTACACAACTTTTTGGATTCTTCGTCTAATTCTATATGCCAGAAACCATCTTTGAGGTCTAAAACCGTAAAATACTGAGAATCTTTTAAATCTTGTTTTAATTCATCAAGAGATGGTATCGGAAAGTGAAACTTATTCAATGCTTGATTTAAATACTTTAGATCAGTACAAATTCTTATTTTATCTCCTTTTTCAACAATTACGATACTATTAATCCATTCACGCTGTTCACTGACACGTGAAATGATTCCTAATCTTTCCATTTCAATTAATTTATTCTGAAGCTTATTCTTCAACTTAAATGGAATTCGACGATTCTGATTCGCAACCGGAATTAAATTTTCTTTTAATTTTAATTTTAAAGGTTTATCAAACTTTCCTAGACCTGTAAAAGCTTTTTCATAATAATCTATAAACTTATTCTTTTGCTTTTCTGAACACAACAATCGGTTCAAGTGCAATAAATTTATACGAGATATGAGTTTTAGATTTACACAGGACTCTAAGCCCTAATCAAGGTATCGTTTTTATATCAATGATTATAAATTCCTAATGATACACATCATTATTTATTTTAATTGGAAGAACTGTTTTCCCAATAGGGTGATTAATTTCATCAAAATAGCTTTGTAACTTTAAATTACTCTTTTCGATCTTAAATTTCTTTCCTAGGCTTTTAAACATATCTAAACTAATAGTATTAACTTGCGATCCAGTATCCAACTTAAAATTGATAATTTTATCATGCACGAGTAATTTTTTACACCAAACATTGCTTTCTGCATGTTTCTTAAGTTCATCACAATTGACTATAACATTAGACTTACAGGTTTCGCGTTCTTCAACTGCACAGACCTTCTCCTTCCTCTTTTTGCCTTTTAAATTCTCAACGCTGTTGCTTTTATTTTGAGCTTTTTCAATTTTATTCGACGTTTGTTTGTTGAGGATACGTTGGTGCACTGGTGATAGTTGATTTACATTTTTACTGTCTGATGCTATTTGGGCTAATTGTTGCTGATTGTAATAATATATTTTGATTTTGCTGATCAAAGTATGCAATGACTTTTCTTGAGATAAAATGAGCTTTTCTCGCAAATTGTTGTTGTGCAGACCGAAAAGAATTTGATCACGAATTGCTTCTTCTTTGAATTGATTAAATTCACAGCTATCAGCTTGGGTTTGAACGCCCCTAATGAACTGATCGACTGATTCACATTCCTTTTGAATACAGCCAAGTAGTTTCATTATTTCAATAAGAAAGTTTGATGACGGTGAAAAATGATTCTTGAGAGCCTCAAACACTTTTTCATAATTCTGCTTCTCTAGACCCGTTAATGGTAGATTCTTGATGATGTCCACTGACTTATATCCCATCAAAAGTGTTAATAAGTTAAGTTTGATCTTGTCGGATTTTTCATCAAGTTCATTAACAATTAGATACGAGTTGAATTCTGTTGAAAATCGTTTCAATTCAATTTTTGACGAAAAAGCTTCAAAGTTGAATTCCTCTTAACTTTTATACGACTGCGCCATGTTTTATTTTTGATTTTCAAATTAACACGTCTTTATGTGTTTGTTCGTGTATTTCAACTGATTTATTTATTTTCTTAGATTGCTCAGATCATTATTTTACATAAACTTTGAACAACGAATTTTAAATTTTGATTTAACGGATTTAAAGATTAATATTTTGAAGTTTTGAACTTTAAATAGAAAAAAGCTGCCTTTAAAGGGGCTGTTCACTTATTACGTAACGCGAAAAAATGACTTTTTAGACCCCCCCCCCCCCCCCCTCGTAACAAAATTTGTATGAAAAAAAAAATTTCCTTGTTTGAACCGTAACAAAATCTTAGACCCCCCTCCCCCCCTAAAAGCGTTACGTAATAAGTGAATGGCCCCAAATAGCAAATAGCATAAATTTTAATCACAGAACCAAAAATTCACCAAATATCTGCAAAAATCCCACAAAAATAATCCAAAATGAGGCATAACAGAATCATATCAATTTGATTTCCAACAAAAAAACCTTCCAATGCTCCGTGAACTTTCCCATACACAATTGTGCTTATCTCTTCATTTTTTATAACAAATATAGCGACCGCTCAACAATGATTCTTATTCGAGTGTGTAGGATTTCGTTATGGAACATTTTGTATCGTGTTTCATTTCCTTTAGGCAACAAAATGATTATTTTGTAGTCATTTCTTGTTTGTTATGGTCCATCAGATGCTCCAACACGGATTTCTACATACACGCGCTATTTTTCCATTCAACATTTTATGCACGAAACATTTTCATTTTTTTTAATGTTCATGCCCATTTGCTTTAACAAAACTATTAATATTCCTCAACTTTCATTTCCTCATCTTTTTCATTTATTCAGGATTCATCGCAATACAGCATCAGTTTATCAAGTAACGCGCTTAGGACATGAACATTGTGATATAACTGAAGGTGAATTGCTTGACATAACGCCACTGGTTGTTGATGGAAAGAAATTAGTAACATTATACGATAAAGATTTAACAGAAGGAATCAATTTGTTAATTGGTGAGTTAATCATGAAAATTTTTACCCCATTACTTAATGAACCAATAGGAATCACGTGCAGCAATCTCATAGCTAATAAGTTTTGATTAGGCTTTTTAAATGAAAAAACTTTTGCACTTTTACTACTTCTTCTTCTTCCCACTTCTCTTATTCATCCATATAATAAATTCCTATCTCCTTCTACTTCTTAGCCACTTAATTCTGATGTTTCATTATACTAAGAAGAAATTAATAGAGAATAAGGGTTCGCTACTACTATAATGGCTTATACATATACACACAGTCAGTCCATTTACTAATCTCTTTTGTGTTTTCAATCATTGTTGGCAATATTAAGTCTTTCCTTTGTGTCTTGTGTATATGATAAATTCCCAGATCGACTCAATCATCAATAAATGTTTATTGATGAAACATAAAAGTTTTAACAAATAACATAAAAGTAAAAGAAGTAGTAATTCCCTCGTTGATCTGTTATTTTGATTAATTGCTCTTCATTGCCTTCCTTTATATTTAATTGCCATTTTCTATGCCAAGATTTTTCTTCTTACTCACTCTCCTTTTACTAAATTACTTGAATACTTTCTCTTTAGCTCATTTTCTCTTGTTCTTTACGGTTGAATGGAGATAGAGGTTATCTAAAGTTTGTCGGTCTGTCCATTGATCTAGAGATAAATGAATCTTTAAGGTTGTAGTTAGAATGAACCAAGAATTGCCTAAAATTCAATAAGATCATGTCCTAGATTCATTTGTAAGGCTTTTCTTAAATGTCCATGATCAAAGCCATAGTCAATGAGTGAATTATATTGAAGTCTTGTCCTTGCATAAACCTGTTAAAAATCTTAGAAGTCCAGTCATTCTTAGGTTCTTAATTAATAAAATCTCTACAATAGGCTCGAAATGCGTCTCAATCCAAATCCAAACTTTCTCTTGTTGCCATCACATCCTCATTTTCATTCTCCTTTTGTTCCAATAAAAATGATTGAGCAGCAAAACGGAATGGAAAAGTTTATTAATTTAATTTTGTTCTTTAATTATCTGCCGACAAAACATGCATTATCAATCATTTACTTCCTTTTTTACTCATTCCTCGTTGTTGTTTTGCCTCAATTGTTCATCCGCTTATTTTACTATCACTTCTCCTGAAAATCAAACGATGAACGTGCTTAAAGTATTTCTACAATTTCTGTCTATTTTATTTCTAGTTGTTTCTGAGCTATGGGATCAACAATGCGTTCGCTTACGTGTCAATGTTAAATCTGATAATTGTGGAGAAAATGCTGACTGCTCTGGTAAAGGAATTTGCTTTTCAAATGCTTCGATGGTAAGTTATAAACATTAAAACTAGATTGTCTCCCCTACGACACACTGACTCGATGGTTAAATAGAATATAAAATAATAAAAGTTTAATTTTCATCTATTTGATTTCTCCACTTACCAACATGTATGAATGTACTTCATGATGACTCTACGAGATAATAACTTGAACTTTCTCTCGTTCCATATTGAATTTAAGAGAATGAGTTGATAGAAACACAACATTTACCTTGTGGATTAAATTTTTTTCTTGCTTTTTTAATTTTCTTATATTTTGTTATGACTGTAAAATGTGCTAAAAACAAGTTTTGTTATGATACCTCTTGGCAATTGAAATGAAATGACGAAAAAGATTTGAAGTGGATTTAGATTTTTGCAACGCTGAATGAACTTTAAAAAAAAAGAATCCAAATTAAATCTGTAAAGTTTTAAAACAAAAGTGCTGAATTGAGCTGAAAAATGCTGAATTGAGCTTAGCAATGCTGAATTGAGCTGAAGAATGCTGAATTAGGTTAAAAAAATTCTTAATTGAAGATTTAATTGCTTTATTGTGCTGAATAACACATAAAAGTACTGAAATAGGCTTATTATGGCTGAATAAAGGTTAACAGTGCTGAATAAGAATCAAAAATGCTGAATAATATTTGAGATTAAGCTTAGCAGTGATGAATAACACTTAATAATACTGTATAAGGCCTAATGTTGCTGAATAAGTCAAAAAATGCTGAATTACACTAAATACAGCTGATTATTGCTGGTTAAGGCTAAATTGCGCTGAATAATATTAAAATTACATGAATTTAATATAATTCAGTTTATTTAATCGCCAATTCAGCAGTTTCAACAAATATCATCAAAGTTTAACCTTAATATTCCAATAACCTATCACAAAAACCTCTCGACATCAAAATGTAAAATTAATTCCACACATTTTCGATTCCATAATACAAAATTTAATATCAGAAATTGATTCAGACATATCTTGTGTAAAATTGAAAATGAAATCAACACCTCAATGGATATTTAACCCTCCCTCACAAAAAAAAAGAGTATTTCTGTCAATATTAATTCCCTTACATTTGAGTTGAGCATGATTGTGGTGAGCCATTAAAAACTCATTCTACCTTCCAATCATACATGTGTGGATAAATAGAATAGATGACATTAAGAGGATTCTTGAATCAATCAAAAATCAACCACGCACAAAATTGTCATCTTGTACGTGACATACACACACGTCCAGGAATTCTCCATTTTTTTGTCATATTTTACCAATTCTCATTTTCATTGTTATGTACAGGAATCATTCTTCTGTGAGTGCTGTACGGGTTTTGCTGGACAACATTGTGAGGAAATAGATGCTTGTACTCCATCGCCTAATGGACAAAAAACTGCTGGTGAGTCAAAAACTTTCCTATTTACATATTTTGCGTAGTGATTTTTTAATTTAGTTTTCTGTAAAGTTGATAACTGAGCTTTTGAAAAATATTATAAAAATTTTTGAGTTTAGACATGCAATTCACAAATACTTAACAAATAGGTTGAGTTCTTTGAACATTATCTATTATATTTCAGACTTTAAGTACAACTTTATTTCCACTAAAAAATAATTCCCAATAGAATTAATCATATAAGTTAAACGAGAAAACGACCGTTTTTTGAGGTAAAATTGAAAAATTATTACTATTACTATTGGACTTTGATTCATGATTCATAGATATAATATTATTTATGATTGCACTAACTGTAACAGCAATTAAAATAATAAATGACACGACAAGCATTGCCATTTACAGAAAGTAATAATAAACACGAAAGTAAAAAATTAAATATGACATATAAAAAAAGCGTGTAATAGTCCACAAAAGCACATTGATTAGATATTTAAATTAGTCATAAAAATGTTATAATGTACAATGTACAATAAGCCACAGATAATATCATAAAAAATGAAAGAGAAAAGAAAATAATATTTTTTTAAGCACATTTATTTACATGTGTACTGTAATAATTGAATGAAAAAAACAAGGAAATATAATTCAAAAAAAAAGCTTTTTTTACTTCTAAAGCTTAAGAAAAAAACATAATGATGCAAAAGCAACAAAATGTATCAAAAAAAAGTATTATTTCAAAAAACAAAATCATCCAAGTCAAATTCCTGTGCTAATGGCATTAACTCTAATGAATCGAAACTTGATGATCTGCTTACCGAGCTCTTTTTTAATTCCTCTTCACTTTCCTTCATTACTATGACTGTTTCTTTTAATTGCAAACAATCAACAACTTCATTACCAACTATATTTGATTTGACTAAGTTTAAAGAGGTACTTATAGTTGATCCCAACAGTCCGGACGTTTCGTGATTGTCATTTAATTCCAGAGACGACTCTGATGAAGACGATATTACTATAATTGGCACTGCTGGAGCAAATCCTTTTGAAGTTGATGGAGCAAACCCTTTTGATGTTGATGGAATGAATGCTGATAAAGTGCCTGTGTCAGATAAAGTTTTGATTTTTTTAATTGGTGGTTCTGCTGTGTCATCTTGTTCACTATCCTTCTCAGGTACTATCTTCTGAGTTCGCCAGACAAATGGCTTTCGTGTGCACCGAACATATACATAATAGTCGGATTCTTCACAATCCTCCTTGACAATACCAGGCTTTTGAATTCGTTGTTTATTAGAGCGTGTTCCAAATTCATTAAAAAATATTCCACTAGGTGTCTGTGTGTTGACTTGTAGTAAATATTCATACCACAAAGCTTCAAAACGAGACCAGCACTTGAACAACACATATGAATCAAATTCGATGTACCGATCAAACTCAAAGTTCTTATAAACTTGCCAATTACAGGAATAGCTCTTGAAGCGTTCTTTTATATCGTGGGTTTGTCCAATTGTGATGAGAGCTTTATTTGGATGAAGCTGTAGTAAAGCTCTTAGCTTTGGTACTCCTATTTCCTTCATATGCTCCAGCATTTGAGCATGTGTCCACGTCTTTGATTTAGATTCCTCTAACGGCTTGCTGACTATGTCGGATCTGAAGTATAAATCCATGTAATTTGCTGGTTTAATGCCATTGCATAAATCAGAGTGCAGACGGGCGTTTTGATATGCGGCGTATTTAAGTCCACACTTATCGCACGGATAAGCAAATCGATAACATGAATGGAGATGTCGGAAGAACTTTGAGTTGTAGCTTGCAGGAACATGGCCACATTTGTTGCACTTCTTCAATTGTTTTGGCTGTTGCTCGACAATCGCATCAAGTGCTTTACGGTAAAATACACGTTCCGGTGGAAAAGTAATCTTGATACAGTTATTCTTTTTAACATGAGCTTGTAAACCACGATATGTATCATGATTCACATAACATATGTTGCATTGGAATTTCTCATACTCGTCCTTACTGTAGTGTCCCATGTGGTGTTTGCGCATTTGACTTATATCAGCATACGTTTTATTGCAACCTTCAAAATGACATTCCCGAGCGTTCATCGTCTGTTTTTTAATCGTGACATAATTGGCATAAAACTTCTTGTGCAATTCGAGTTCCTTTGGCAAATTTGGCGGTAGTGGATTGTCAATTTTAACTTGTACATATTTCTTTACTTCGTTTCTTTTGTATGATATTTTATCTGATCTGATAAATTTTATTATACATATCAATAAATAATATCTAAGAAATAAAATTAATGTTATTTCAGTTTGCATCAACAATGGCATTTGTGTCGATTTGTCGCAGGGACATGAGGGAAATAGTTATCAATGTCTATGTCCATATGGTAAGCATACAGTCACTCTAACATGCTTTTCCTTAACGAATTATGATCTTTTCCGACATCATGCGACATGCTTCCATTTAACCACATCATAATTTCTGGAATACAAGGATAGACATTGGAATTTATGTGTTCATGTATATCCTTTATGCTTGTTCTATGCATAGGATAATAATTTTGAGCTTGTATTCCTAAGCACATAAAATTAATGTACGATGTTTATGTTTATGTTACCGATATCACGATACGAAAGTCATTAAAAATTTGCTCATCATCTTTAAATTAATTTAAATAGAACATTGGAAATTATCAACAAGGGTGCCTAGTCTATAGATCCTGATCGAAAAGGAAGCCAAAAAGTTAAAAGGCTCATGAATATATAAATTTAATTAAAAGTTTTTAAAAGTTTGAAAAAATTTTATATAAAATTTATTGTTTACCTTTCTGATGACAAGAACATCATCTTTAATATACATTTTACAGGGCCGTTTATTTATGACGTCCAAAATTAACGGTCATTTTTCAAAAAAGAACAATGGATTTCCTAGGGTTTGGAAAACCTGTTAACAGAAAACAGAAAAACAGCTGTTTTTCGACAAAAATCTGTTAACAGAAAACAGGTCTCAAAAACAGATCTGTTTTCTGTTTTTCATTTTTACATATAATTTACAGAAAAAAAATTTCTTAATTTTTTGAAGAACTTAATATATTTTTCTAGCATTAAAATTGAAATGTATTTACTATTTTAATATTTTTGGATGTTTAATAGGTTTGAAATCATTGTCAAACTTATGATTAATCATTATTAATTTTGCAATCGAAATTTTAAAATTGTTGAACCTTTTGGAACATTTACTAAAGTTCAAAAATATAATCAACAAGTTTACAAGATATTTTTTTATTTAGAAAGATTTTTTGAATATTTCAAATAAAATATTAGAGTTTATGGAACTTTTGCAATGCAACAATGCAAAGTTTCTTAAAAGTATAAATATTTTTTTTTGAATTTTTATATTTCATTATATTTTATAGAGTTAATTAACGAAAAATTAAGAAATAATAATGCTTAGCTCTATAATGTATGCTTAACTGCTTATAACCACCAAAAAGTTTCATTATCTTAGAGAAACAATTAGGATAACTCAGTTTATTTTGAATTCTAGGAAAACAGCTGTTTTTAAAAATCAAATACCGAAAACAGACTGTTTTTCAAAAACAGCTGTTTTCCACAAACCCTAGGATTTCCAGGAATTTCTATTGTTTTTTTCTTGCCTGCCCCTCGTTCTACTGGTAGTCATAAGTGAACGGCCCCTATCCCAAGTCTACTTTTTCAATATGCTTAAATTCAAAATGGCGGATTGTTTTGTTTTGGCCTGGATGTTCACTGGATCTTATTTTATTGAATTATTTTGGACTTTATGTTTACTGGATCTTATTTTATTGGTCCGAGTGTGTAATTGGATGTTAATATAAGGGCCAAATACTGTTTTTGCGATGATTTCTTAATTAAAGCTTAATATCCAACATTCAAATTTTTCCTGTCATACATGAAGAGGGACTTTACTAGTATCCAATATTGTTTTATCAAATTTATTATGTAGCTTCATGTGATGACATTAAAATATGTATGAAAAAGTTTTCTATCACATAAAATTGTCTAATCTTTGTGATTTGATTAGATTTGAATAAGCTTAAAGCATGTACAAGTTTCTGTATAATACGATTACTATCTGCTTCATATTTTTACATCATGATCAGATTGACATAACGAGATTTCTGTCTCAATAAAATCAAAAGGATTTTCGACATTCTACACTTCTCATCTATCCTAATTTCATCGCATATATTCATTAAAATTTCCTTTCGTCTTCCTGTCTACACAGATGAATATGTATATGCTCATGTTTTGTGATTATAACAAGATTAACTGTATGAGAACTGAAGATGTTTATGTTTATTTATGAACTAGAATTAATTTTTCTCTTGACAGCACTTAGATATTACTTGTGCTTGCTTTACGGAACGAGAAAAACATGTTTTTTGGATCAAATGTAACTTTATATGGTGAATTTTTTGCAACAATTATTTTTCAAGGATAATATTTTGAATGAGTTGCTTTAGTTCCAACTCTTTATAGACAAACTTTTCTGTCTGATGATTTTAATTTGGATAGATAAAAGTTGAATGAGATTTCCAAGTCAATTCTCAAAGTTAATATTTGGAATTAGAAATTTTAGTTGAATGATTTTGGCATTTTGAGGGTTTAGTAATAGTAATTGATTAGTTTTAAAACTTATTGACTTAATTGATGAGCTTAAAATTCAGCCTTTAGATGTGAATTTCCCTTGGAATTGAGCATATTTTTTAAATCTTAGATTACGGTTAAGAGTTCAAATTTCAAAAAATCGATAAAGTTTAACTTTATAAGTTGATAATTTCCAATGTCAATCAATAAATTACAGCATGTATCATCAAAATGCAAATAGTGACGAAAATTTGACAAATAATTTTGTTAATGAAATGTGATTTTTGGTCCTTAATCATCTGCATAATTTATGAACGATATATTTTATGGAGAAGCGTTACATTAGCGTTGACGACAGTGAGAAAGAGAATAATTTATGAAATATTAAATGTGTACAATTTATCACATTTATCGTTTCCATTTTTAATCGAGAGAATTTATTTCGAGCTATCAATTTCCACTGAAATAACTTCCGGAGTGGGAATGGAAACACAAACTAGATCATTTAAATATTTGATGAGAACAAATGGAAGCGAATTTCATTTATTGATTGGTTAAGCGACATTCATCCATTGAGATCTCAATTTTTATTTTTTTCTATTTTTATCCCCTCGACAGGATACACGGGCAAAAACTGTCAGTTTGAAGCCGACCCATGCAATCCATCTCAATGTCTCAATAGCGGAACATGCATAAGCAACACAACACATTTCAGGTAATGTCTTTTCAGATAACAACTCGTGAGCTACTCTGTGAATTTTTAACAATCCTTATTTCATCTGTAAAAAATACCATACATATGATACACATACATTTGCTACCTAATATAAATCCTCTACATCTCCGCTGTCACCACAAATCCACATTAACAGAAATGCAAACTCAACATTTCCTTTTAGGTGTGAGTGCCCGCCTGGCTTTACTGGTCCGTTGTGTCAACATAATTTGAACGAATGTGAATCATCGCCATGCGTTCATGGTATATGTGTTGATCAGGAAGACGGCTTTAGATGCTTCTGTCAACCAGGTATGAATATAATTTTGATTAAAATTAAACTCGTTCATATTTTGCGCACATAAAATTAAATGATACGAAATGATATTTTTAAGAGGTAATCTAATTTTATGATATAGCACAATTACGTTATGAAGCATGAGAAATTGGAATAGCTGTCGATAACGAAGTTTTGCTATGTGGTTGAGCTTTGAGTAACTTTGATGAAAATAGGAAAATTTTATGAGGGTGGAACTAGCTATGAACTGTTTTGATTCAAAGTTTTAAGTTGAGCATTCATGATCTGGAGATGACTTTATAGGGATTGATAGGAATGAGTTTAAAAGGGACCGTACCACAGAAAATGCTATGTATTTCGATGTAATGCAGCATTATTGATGAAATTTTGAACCCCTCCTGACTAGATCCCTTTGGTAGACACCCTACACCCTTATTAGAACTCATTTCCTACCAATCAGCTTAAAATGAGAAGTTCTAACGAGCAATTTTAAATAAATCAACATCCACGGTCTCTAATAAAACCACCAACCAACTATGCCTCCCCCACTTATCACAAATAATTCGAAATTTTCGCACATTATCTCTATCCAAAGCTCATCCATCTATAACATCTTCATGGCACTTTTCCTGCTATTCAAATAACACAAATCAAATTGATGCTTGAATTTTCATCATCAGCATCAACATATAAGGTAAAAAATGGCATTGAGTGTGAGCAAAACGAATAATGTCAAGAGAACGATCGAAGTTAAAGCATGTGTAAAGAATTTAATAATTCAATGGAATAGAATGATGTTGATATATGCTGAAATGAAATAACGCATTAGAGATTCTTAGTCCTCTACATAAATGTGTATTAAAAGTGCTGAAAATGATGAAATTTCTTCTCAATGGTCCGTTAAAAATGTAATTCTTGATGCCATTTACACACATCTATGGAAAAAGAAGAGAAAAAGGGGGAAAGTTAAGTCAAATAATGGATGAAATGAAAGAAATGAGAGGGAGTGGAATGAATAAGTGAATGAATGAATGATTTGATTGAAAATCGTGCTTAACTGAAATTGAATTTTGCTTCGATTTGCGCTGTAGTGATGAATCCACCATTCGCGTGAACGCATGCAATATTATGTAGAATATGTTTGTAAATCGAGTAAATAAGTTGCTGGTAATCTTGTCAATCTGGTTATTGAAGCGCTTAATCTTTGGTTTATACGGTATTGCTTGACAGAAATTGTGTTATTTAGTAATATTGGGGAGAAATGACAGTAATTTAGTTCAATTCAGCGCTGTTGAGCTCAATTTTGTACTATTCAGCAATATTCAGCTCAATTTTGTACTATACAACAATATTCAGTACAGTTTTATATGTAATCAGTTCAATTCTAAACACAATCAGCTAATCTCAGCGCTGTTCAGCATTTTTTAATTTTAATATATCATGAATAATTTTAATTCAGCACTATTCAGCACTATTCAGCTCTATTCAGCATGATTCATTTCAATTCAGCTTAATTCAACTTTATCCAGCTTAATTTAGCAGAATTCAATTTATTCAATTAGTTTGAGAAGCCAGAGCATCGTCATGGCTTTATTACATTATAAACTATGGTACATTTAGTTCCTCTTATCGAGGACACAATTGGGTTTCAATTCAGTATTGAAGTTATTCAGCAGTATTCAGCGTATTCAGCACAATACTCATTTAAAAGCTGAATAACTTGCTGCAATGTAAAAGATATTTATCAAAAAGTTATATATTCCATACATTATATTGAACCGGATATATCAGCTCATATTACAACAAATATATCCGCAAATACTTTTAAAAAGTACAGTAGACAAAAATATCATAAATGATCTAACCCAGCAGGTCAAAATAAATATAAAAAGAATATACAGTTTGAAAAAATAACACGCTAAAGGCATCATACATATGTATAAACATAAATGTATAAATAAATTTCCTTATTTTCTTATTCGTAGGAAGAATTTGTATGTATGTATCCATTTCACAGTTGAATGATCACTTATCTTATCATCACAACATAAATTTACAATCCGCACCCTTTAAGCTCCTCTTATTCTCTTTCTCATTTCTTTTATTTTTATATTTTATTCATTCGACAGAAAAATGTCAATCCTTTTCGCTTTCATGAGCATTATAAGGGCCTTTAAGAAAATGAGCCTATGAACTACGACTGACTAGTCGAGAGGAAATTCTTTTTACCAATTTTTATTTTTCTTTCTTTTGTTTACTTCTTTTTTTAAGGAAATTTGAATTTATTATCAAATGCTCATCAGGTGGAAACTCGTGCTCACTTTTTCATTTACTTCTGTGTGTATTTATGGCAAATATTCAATTTCTTTTCAATATTTATATCGATGAAAAATTTGTGATGTTTTATTTATACGCTACCGGGTGAAATGCTTTTGAAAAGCTCAAGAGGACGGCTTTCAACCGTTCATAACGAGCTTTGTGTACCTTATTGATGAATTTATTCAGGAAATATTTGAATATAAACTTTTGGAAATATTTTTAAAATTTCATCAACTTTTTTTGGGGGGATTTTGTTGTGCTTTTGAGTTTTATTTGAGAGATGATTGGATGACTGTTGACCTACTAGCTGATTGATATGTTTTTTTCATGACTACTTACCTGGATTACTTGATTGACGGCTGGTTTGCTTACTTTTTAAATGATTTGTTTACTGGATGTTGGTTTTTTGGTCATTGATAATCTGGAAATGTAGCTTCAATAATGTTTATGAATTAATTTACAAATTGATCGCCTTCATTCATATTAATGAATCAGTGGCCTATGTAAATGGTAGAGCGTTGGCCTTCTGTGCCAAAGGTCCTGGGTTCAATCCCAGGCCATGTCTAATTTTCGAAGCTCTTTTTCCATTTCACCGTTCTAGTTACGAAGCTCGGTTCGTGTGCTGAGTGTAGTTTTGAGGTCTTTGGCACAGAATCTGCCTCCTTTGCTAGGTATACAAGGATATACTAGCATCTGGATGACTTCCTTACGGCATCTTGCGTACACGAATTGTGACTAGGTTCATTGCAGGGTACATCAGGTCTTATGACGTACTCGTGTCTTTGCAATGTGCAGAGCTTGCAATTGGTTCGGATCCCACTATAAACTGTAGGTCTAAAGGGTGTGGTACAATAGATTCTGTTCTAATAAGAATCGAAGTGTCTCCAGTTCAAAGGCTGGGCCCTTCACACATTATATATATATATATATATATGTATATATATATATATATATTAATGAATGAAACTCTATATATCCAATATCATTCATTCAACTGATTCAATCAGCATAGTTTAGTCATTAGTTCTAAAAAATCACTCAAGCAACAACAATCCGAGTCGACAGCTACGATTGCATCGCTATTTGAAAGAAAAATGCACACTAATTGATGTATAATTGGAAGAACAAATAGAATATGGAGCTAGGACAATAAAAACAAAATGCTAACAATAGTTTGTCGTGCCAGTATAACTGAAAATGAAGTATTGTTTGGCATTCTGTGCTTTTCTTGTATGCAGCATTGCATAAATCGAGAGAAAAATAAAAGGAATTCAAAGATGGCAAATTCAACAATCGCTTTTTTCATGCTCGACAGGAATTTTTCCAATTTATCATGCTCTGGTTATTTCTCGAGATTCCTTCAAGCATCGAAGTATGATTCCGTTTATGTAGTCACAATATAAAGACTTGAAATAAAATATATTATATGGTTTTTAGCGGCGCTTTTATTTTTTTTTGTGTGCCATAATTTTTATTCTCAAACAAAAAGTACGAAATTTTTTTACTGAGAATCCCACGCTATTTGAAAAGTTTTTCATTATTCGTCTCCAATTGTTTTGTTTCATTTTATATTCTTTTGCGGAAACAAAAGCTAAAAATGTAGGAAATAAAGTTGTTTCATTTTTGCAACGCGTTACGAAAGTTTCTGTTAACTTTTTCGTGCTGTTTCAGAACGGAAATAAATCTTGTCTACAGCTGGTAAAGGCTGATTCGGTGTGTTCTATGTGCCGTCTACATTTAGACGAAAATGGATGAATGTTGTTAACGCTGCGTGAAAATCGCACGACAATATTGAATTTTTGAAATGTTATAAACTAGTTGTGTAAACAATTTATATTCAGGTTATGAGATTTTTTTATTACAACGCGTCATTCAAATGTCTAAAATTTCATTTAAAGTTGATTTTGTAGTTGCTACCAATTCAGCACATTTGTCTGAATTCAGCACTTTTGTTTGAATTCAGAGTTGTTGAATGAATTCAGCAATTTTATATGAATTTAGCGTTTTTATCTGAATTAAGCATTTTATATGAATTCAGCATTATTATCTAAATTCAACACTTTTATTTTAATTCAGCACTTTTTATCTGAACTCAGTACTTTTGACTGGATTCAACACCTTTGTCTGAATTCAGCTCTCATTTTTGAATTCAGAGTTATTGATTTAATTCAGCTCTTTTTCTGAATTCAGCACTTTTGTAAGAATTCAGCACTTGTGTAAGAATTCAGCACTTGTGTAAGAATTCAGCACTTTTGTAAGTATTCAGCACTTTTGTAAGAATTCAGCTCTTTTTCTGAATTCAGCACTGTTTTTAAGAATTCAGCGCTTTTATCTGAATTCAGTGCTATTGTCTTAATTGAGCGAGATTATTCGTATTCAGCATAATTAAATCATTCATAAGAATTGGATTATGTCTGCAATTTAAAGTGAAACTTATAAAATTCTCCATAAAAATATATATTGAGTTTAGTGCCAAATAATGTAGTAAAAAGTTCCTAGTAATAAAATGTTAAGCATCACAGCACAATACAACAAAAATATCATTTCGTATCTTTAAAAGTGCTGTTAATAACATGTTATGTTGATAATTTATAGACTTATCCTTATTTCTTTTTATTTCTTCCTCTTTTATATCCAACTCTTTTTAACAGGCTTTTCTGGTGATTTATGTAATTTCGAATACAATGAATGTGACTCAAATCCATGCGTGAACAATGGGCAATGTATAGATCATATTGGAGGATTTTCATGCCAATGCACGAAAGGCTATCAAGGAAAACGTTGCCATATAAAGGTATGAAGCACATGTGACTTTAAATTGCATTCATCAATCATGTTGAATTGAAAGAAATATTTTCAATTTTAAATTAAATTTCCAATTCCATCTTACTTCCATAGATTGATTTTTGTGCCAACAATCCTTGTGAGGATGGCTACAGATGTGTTGATCATGGTGATGAATATTCATGCGTCTGTCCTGGATCAGATGATCATAATGTACCAGATTGTCATGACGTCCCACGCACTGTAAGTATAAAGGCATAAAAATAAAATTTCTTATCTTATTTACCCAAACAATCGCAGTCACAGATAAATTTACATCATTGCGCATCATAAAAATATGGAATGCGGGTAGCAGGAAAAGAAGAAATTTAAATCAAATATTGCAGAACGGTAGCTTCAAAAGTATTAAAACCTTTTCTGCCTACTTTTTATTTTTGTACATCTGTAAAATTATTTTCCACAATTTTTTTCCTTTCATGTGGAAGGGCTGTGTACACAACAATGTACACAAAGAGAAAATCATGAATTTTATTTGGAACTAAGAGTGAGAAGGGCATTAAACAGCACGAATTGAAATATTTACTCCTTACGTTCCCTTTTTATTTCCTATACATAAGCATTTTTCATATCTAAAGAAATTGTTCTTTTCTGCTGGATGTTTATTGTCTTCTTAGAAATATTAAGAAATTGCATGGAACGTTCCATCTTTAATACTTCCGGGAAAAAGGATTGTAAAAAACCCTTTTTAGTCTCTTTTTATTATTATGTCAAGTTTTCCTTTTTGGACAAGTTCTTTGAAAATTATAAAAAATTAAATTTGTTCAGTTTGGGTACTTTTACCCAAACTACTGTTTGTGGTCCATTTGATCATTTCAAAGAGTTTTGAGGTTATTTTAGATGCAATAACTGTAAGCTTTGAAGCTTCTGAGAAGCATTTTACTCAAAGCAAGACCAACATGAAGGGAAAAGGTTTGCAAACAATATTTTAAGGAATTGGGTTTGACCTCGAGTTGGTGACCATAACTTAAATCCAGAAACATCTAATCAATGAGTTACTTTGACGTGTTCCAATAGCGAGCCTCACAAGAAAAAGTGTATAAATTGCTTAATATGATGTTGAGCTCCTTACCAAAAGAACCTATAGTCTTGCACAGACAAAGTCACATTCATATGACACAACACCACAAATTCCACAATCCTACGTCATCAGACCTTCTTAATATCATACGCAAGCATACAAAGTGCGCTGAAAGTTCACTTTTCTTCATTTCATTCCCACACGCTCCTCAAAGAGCACAAAACAATGACACAGAAAGTTACAAAAAAGTGCTTTCAGTTGATGTCAATCGGTAATAAATCTTTATTAGTCTAAATCCTCATTGAAATGCTTCCACTAAAGGATCTCTTTGTATTCACTGATTTTATTTAACTTTCGTTTTGGGAATTTTTTTTTTCTAAATTTTTACATTTCATCTAGAATGGAATAAAAAGCATAAAAGAAGAAGAACTTTTTGTCATCAAAGGAGAGAGACTCAAGGACATAAATTTTCCATCTTAAAAGATCCTTTTAATTTCACATGATTGAATGGAAGGAAAATTAAATTCAAACTTTTTTATGCTCCCATTTAGGATCATTTTTAATGACACACTGAGCACAAAATTTATTACATAAATAATAACCATTTCCTTAACATTATGAGCATATACATATTCAATGGACTTAAATAAATATTCGACTAGAAAAAAACATTTATGATTCATGGGAGGGGGGGGGGGGGGTATGTATCAAAAAAGGAAAATAGCTTTACTTTTGCATGCCAAGCAAAATTGCGCTTTATGTACGTCAAAGATCAGTAAACAAAAAAGGTAATAAATTCTTTTATTGATCCAGGTCGATGCTGCAAAAATTTTCATGTTCTGACTTTTTTAAATAAAGTTTAAATAAATTTGATCCAAATTAATCCAATAGTATTAATTTTTGCGAGGCTTATCGGTTTTAAATTGATGTGGTATTGATACAGGAATAATAGTTTTTGATTACATGCGAATGCTGCTGAATAAATTTGTGAAAAATCGGAATCTATGTCTCTTTAAAAGCTGATTAATATTCATGCTGTAAACATCAGCGATGAATATTGAGTTGATGGAATTTTGAAGGGCTTAATTGAATGTTTTCGCACTTAAATTGATTGTGGGACGCTACAATGTAAAGACAAAATAAACAGAATAAAGAAAACAATGTTGGCAATAGCTTGGCAAGGGGGCTGCAACATGTATGAAGTCTGATTTTGAGATGCTGTTACATGTGCTTGGAACAATATTTAACTTACTTACTATCAATTGTGATCCATGGCCTCCCTTAGATGGCGCCTCAAGTTGGCTCTATCGCTTGCTCCCGTTTGCCAATTAACCAAGAGTTCTTGGGACGTGGAACAATATTTTACCATACTCAAAAACCTTAGCTCAAAAGCTAAATGAAACTCTTTAGGGTTGGCTGAGAGTAAAGGGGGCAAAAGGGTGTCAATATTTTAGCAGGGGTTCTCAGATGATGCGACAAAAATTTGGACAAAAGAAAGCAACGGTGTGGAACTGATAAATTGAATTTAGTTCACTTAATACTTAACGCTTAGAGAAGGGGGGGGGGGGGGTAACAAAAACAACGAATGGGAGGGGGATGAATTTCAAAAATCCCATATTTTAAGTAAGTCGTAAGTAAACGGCAATTCCGTCCCCTGGTTTGATCTGAGCATCATTTATACTCAACAGTTTGCAAATTTGCATCACAAAGCTTTAAATTTTTGCATTTTTATTTCCATCGAAATTGAATAAGCCCACATCGAATCTGAAAAATATTCATCTGATCCATAAGCAGACTACAATGTTGCAATAAATACAATATAGCCTTGCTATTGCCAGATATACCTGCACATGTATTTATTAAAAGAGCCGATTTGATATGAAATTTTTTCAAAATACCTGCTACATAATATTACAGTCCCTCTTAAAGGCTCAAGAGGGCATTAAAAATATGAAAAATTTCTTTTCCTACCTTTTTAGTACATTCTGGGTATAAATGTAACAAATGATTATTTTTATGCATATTCGCGCTATAAAATTTTATATTTTTGAACACAACCTCGTCTTATAGAGAAGAGCTGACTATAAAAATTCATTTTATTTCAATTTTACTCTCGTTTGCAGCTGTGCACTGTTAATCCTTGTGCAAATGGCGGAACATGTTGGACTTCTAATGAATCGTTTTATTGTGCATGTCGACCTGGTTACACCGGAAAATTGTGTGAAGGTATGTAAGAATATAAAAGATGAGATTTTTGTGCCTTAGAGCACTCAAAGACAAAGCTAGAAAAAAATAACAATGAGGAGTTTTTAATTAAAACTTTTTCTTCTTTTTTTTCCTTTATTATTGCTGCTTCCTCATCCTTTTTCATCCACAAGATGACTTTGTAATTGACACGGTTGTAAGTTCAAGCGAGCTGTTGTCAGATGTCTCAGACAATAATGTTATTACATGGGGTGAGCTCAAAGATATTACACAGGATGCAAATTCGACGGACATCCACAATGCCTATATTGCCGCTGGTATTTTGGCAACAGCACTCTTAATTCTTGCTATTGTTGTAAGTATTTTTTTTCACTATCATATTGTTGTGGTAATTAATTTAATTTAATGATTTACTTTTTTTCAACCTCGGGTGATAAAGTTTAATGATTTTGTCAAGGGTTGATGATTAAAGGTTCTAAAGGTTTAGCTAAATCATATTGTTAAGGTAAATTTGGTTCTCTTGGTTCCATGTTTTACCTTCTCAATTCAAATCTGGTTCTCTTGGATTTGTTTTGGTCTCTCAGATAAGTTTTAATCCTCTTGGGTCAATTTAAATCATCACGGGACAGTTTTTTTATTCATAATGTTAGTTTTGATGCTTCTGGGTCAATGGTAGAAACTTTTGCGATATATTTGATCATCTTGGTCCAACTTTAGTCTTCTTTGTTTAGATTTAGTCATCTTGGGGGCAATATTATATCATCTTAAGTCAGTTTTTGCAATCTTAAATTAGTTTTGGTCATCCTGGGTTAGTATTGATCCTTTTAGATGAATTTTCATTATTTGGGCTAGTTTTGATCTTTTTGAATTAAAATTGGTCCTCTTGGATCAAATTTCTATCATCTTGGACTAGTTTCAGTTTTGAAATAATAGTTTTGACATAATTTAAAATACCATAAAAGCCATTCAACTCTTGATTTTTCTATTAAACTAATTTTTCATCTGAAACCTACTAATTTTCGAAAAGATAAGACTTTAATTGATGTAATTAATTTCATCTTCATTGTCTAAATTAGGTCACAATTTGTCACTGTAAAGTAAGCGGAAGCTATCGAAGATTCACAGTGAATCAGCGTCATCTAATACCATTTTTCATGAGACGTAGCAAAAAGACAAACGAGGATGAGCACAGTAAGCACTGGTTAAGTGGAAAGAACTCATCATTTTTCGAGGAAAATCACATAAATTTAAAGAATAATCAACAACCTCATCACAACCAATGTCCGAGTAATAATCTCTTTAGTCGACCACTCCAAATGAACTTGGAGAACGATATGTATTATACAGTTGATTTTAGTGAGTCACAGCAGTCGCCATTAATACAGTGAGTGCAGTAAATATAAGAGGTAGTGGATAGAACAGTAATAAAAACAATAGGAAATAATACAAAAAATAATTATTTGAATATGAAATGTAAAAAAAATTATATTTCTCATAAACTTCTAATCTCTATGACAATTAAATGATGATAAACTCTAAGAGACATAAAAAACCTGTTGATAAGAAAGTAAAATAATGATAAATTAATTAAAGTTGAGTTTTTATCTAATCTGATTTTTAATTTAATATTATTTCTTGCGTTTCTTTACTGAAAATGGTGCCAATTTAAATTTATGCGATAAAAAAATTTATAAATGAACATAGATGACAATTTTTAGCTGAAATGATAGTGACTAGCATCGTATGAACACAAAAATAATTTTTCCCATAACAATAATTTAAATTTTTCTTATGCTGGAATTGAACAGAAATGACAATGAATTAAAAATATAGAAAAAACAAATCTTTCAATTCAAAAGCTTTTCTATCACAATTTTCTCGCATTCTTACATAAAATAGAAGAAACTTTCTCTTTAAATAATCAAAGCGTTAACAGCTAAAACTACCGACATAAAACACTAGTTTCACAAAATAAACAATTCATAGCTTGTTGATTTTATTTAAAATTCTTCTTTTCAAACAGGTAAAATTCATTTATTGTTTCACTAAAATTCGAGGATTGTTTCAATGAACATAAATAATGCTATTTTTTGGTAGATGTTGATTTAAGTTTTGGTGGTTTCAGAATAAATGTTTTAATCTTTTTGAGCTACAAACATTTAAATACATCCAAAATTTAACGGTTTTCAAAAATAACGGGTCTTAAGAATTCAAAAATCGAATAATGTTAAAAATTCAAATTTCGACAGATTCGAAAAAATTTTTGTTTTTTTCATTTTAACGGTTTTTAAATTTCAAACTTAACGGTTTTTCTACAGTCGAACCATTCAAATTTAAATTCTCATCTACCAAAATACACTTAAAAATCCCAAACCATAAAAAAACAGAAACCTGCAAAAACCTTAATTGATAGAAGCTTTTGACAGGAAATAAAATAGTAAATAACAACAATTACAATAAAACAATCCCTATTATTGGATACAACTTCTATACATACAAAGCCCCACTCAGTTTTTGAGTAGAACAATACAGAACAACAATTATAAAAAGCGATTAAATGCTTCAATACAGCATGCACATGTAATGCATTGTTTTAAATAAAAAAGAGACTTTATTTCCCAATAGAAAAAAGAAAAGAATATGATAATAGAAAGCAAAAGAGCTTAATGACTCCAATACAAGAAATTCGATAGAAAAAATGTAAGAAAAAAGTTTAAATGCTTTTCATCATTAAATAGAAATCACAATGAATCCTTTTTTTATGTCAGTAGGAAATATTAACAATAGAACAACAGTTCACATAACATTGCATTCATTAAAAGAACGTCATTTGTTTTTTTTAAGGAAGTTCTGTTGTTAATCTTAAATGCTTTGTTTTCCACACAATGACAAATAAATAATTTATGTGCCAAATTGTTTGCAACATGCTCAAATGTCCAATGATAATTTAAAAAATATATTCATTAATTTAAAGGCTATTGAAACGAGACGATTGCTGCCTGTGATAAGAAATCGTTGACTTTCATTAAAGCTATTGGTCCATTGAAAATGAGACTTTTGAATTCTATGGAAATTGTAAAAATTAATTGACTGTGAAGCTCATTGAAAGTTTTGGCTGATTTGTGGTAATTGAAATGCAGTGTTGAAGAGTTTTATGACATTTTAATTGAAAGGAAGTGACCTTTTAACTGCAATTGATATTTGAAGAAGTAGCTTAATCATTTAGAGTTCAGAACTTTACATCCAAAGCTATAAGATCATAGTTTTCATCTTTCAGAATCAAAAGATATAAGAAAAACTAAAAGAATCAAGCTTAATCTTCTATTGACTCATCCACCTTATGGTCACTTAGTAAAAGAATAAATCCAGTAACACCCTTGGCACCAATAAGTTCCACAAAGTTTATCTCAATAAGTGATTGATTACATTGAATAGAAAGACTTAGTCAAGTAGCTACAAAACTGTCAAAACTTTCAATGTGCCCGGAAATATGAAATGTCCATAGAAACCATTAAAAATAAATTGAGTTGTTTACTTTATGTCATCTTGTCCTGTTTCATTTCCTTAGCGAATAAATAAAAATACCATAATAATTTGAAAATGTAAAGGAAGCTAAAAAATGAAAAGCTATATTTATTAAGGAAATAAAAAGTTAATAAAATAATATTGAAGCATTTGAATGATATCCATTTTTTATACAAAAATAAAGAAGACAAAATGAAACCAAGCGATTGTAAGACAAACTAATAATGAAAGTATTCCTCATGTTCTTTGTTTCTCCCACCCCTAAATTATTACCTTTTTCGGAATAAGAAAAAAAAGAGAGAATAAAGTTTTATTACGTTATGAAATGTACTGTAATTTACGTTTATTAATTGAATAAATGTTTCATAAAATCTGATTAAATCAAATTTGCAATCTTCTTCTTCTTCCTTTTGCAACATTGTTACAGAATAAGTATTTCATTTATTATTCATTTGAGGTTAATTTGCATCATGTAATGTAAAATGAGAAATTTTCTTGAAGATGATTAATGGGAAAAGCAGGTTTGTTGATTGTGTATTTTTCGTATCTGCTTTACAGGATTTACAGGATGATTTTCCAGGTTTAAAGAAGGAAATTTGAAGGATTAATCAGCTCTACATCCACGTTTTGTACTTGCCGTAGTTCTATTTGAGTGATGGAAGTTGTAAAAACTAATGGTTTGTAGACTTCCAACAAATTTTGTCTTTTTGTAAAAATCAGGGGACTGAAACTATGAATTTTCAGAGTTATTGGGGAAATATGCTTGCAAACCCCTTCATTTGAATTTAAAATTTTCTTTAGAAAATTTCTTTTAACCAAAAAGATGAAAATTCAATTTAAAAAGATAACATTCCAACCAAATAACCACAAACAGCACAACTCAAGTCATGTACAACGATGCAAAACAGCATAAAAAGAATTATCAATATTTGCATAATGACTTTAAACATTATTTTTCTTACCGAAAGGTACACATTTAGAAGTAGAAACGAAAAACAACAAAATGTTGTGAAGTAATTACGAATGCATTAGGTTAATTGCAGTTGAAGAAGAAGAAAAATTTCATGCAACGTTGAGTCTCTCATACACAACGATTACGTCGAAAACGAAAGGTATTTAATGTACAAAGTTGGCACAAAAACAACTGATGCAGTCTTTATTGTTTTCTTTTACATGCTTAATGTTTCATGATGAAAGCTCGTCGTTCTTCTCTTTGAACTGAAACACCTTTTTTCACATTCATATATGCTGATTTTCATCATTGAGCCTTTTTAAATGAATGAATACATTCTTATGATGAATAGACTATTGTTTGTATGAAACACATTAATGACTTCTGTTTTGCAGCATGAATTTTGTGTTATTTTTTTTTTTTTCCAAAAGTGTTTGAGTCCATGTATATCTAAACTAATTGGCTTTTTTGAGAACTGAATATTGAGTTACAATAAACTTATTAAAACTTGCTAGACTGCTTATAATATTTAACGGTTTTTGTAGAATTCAATTTTATAGAATTCAAATTTTAACAGATTTGTAAGATTCAAATTTTACAAACTTTGTAACAACCATTGAAATTTTTCATTCAAACCTAATTTGAAAAATATCTCGTCAATAAATCTAAATTAAACCAAAGAAATGTCTATCCATGATTCAGAATTTGAAGATGATCTTGATGAAATCCTCATCAATGAAATTTATAGAGGAGTAAGTTCCATTTTTCATCAATTTCCAATAATGATCAGGGACCAAAATCATCATTATTTTTAAATTATGATTTTTTTCATCTATGTAAATTATTACGTAAAATTTCATCAAGTAAGAATCATTTTTACGTAGGATTTCATCACGTAAACGAAAAAATGCAGTAAAATCACACCAAATGTATTAATAATGCTAAATAATAAGAACAAGAGATAGAATAGATTAGTTTTGCTTAAAAACATTTTATACGTCATTTTTTGCTTTACGTGATGAAATCCTACGTAAAAATGATTCTTACGTGATGAAATTTTAAGTAATAATTTACGTAGATGAAAAAAATCATAATAATTTTCATCATCAAAACTAATGATGTTTTTCATCACAGATTTTTTTCATTCATTTTGGTCCCTGATAATGATAACTCATCAATTCTACACACAAAAAAAAAATAGGAATTTGTTGGAGAGAGACTTGAAGATGGAAAGCGTGATGGATTTGGCAGAGCTATATTACCAAATCGTGATCAATATGAAGGCGAATATCGACAAGGATTACGTAACGGAAGTGGATGTTATTATTTTAACAATGGATCTCGTTACAATGGTGAATGGAAGAAAGGATCTAAAGATGGTCACGGAAAGTTTAATTATCCTGATGGTAGTTCATATTGTGGATCATGGAAGGATGGGAAGAAGCATGGATATGGCAAATATATTTATCAGAATGGTGATGAGTATGAAGGTGCATGGAAACAAAACATCCGACATGGCATCGGTGCATATAAATCTCAAGAATCTGACATCTCATTTAAAGCAACATGGATTGATGGACTTCCCCAAGGTCCAATAGAAATCTTTTATCCAACATTTCATTATCATGGCTATTGGAATAAAGTACATCCAATTGGAGGAGGTGCATTTACATTCGGTACAAAATACATGATGTCAGGTTACATTGAGATGCTTAAGAATGCCGACAATGTTGATTCAGTAAAGTCATCAAATGAAATGCTTGATGTAAAAACACAATCATCATCACAAGACAATGTGGAACAAGAACAAGAAGTAAATGATGTGAATGTGGAGAGCAAAAATGAGAATTTAACAAATGTGAAATTTCCCAAATGCCTTCCGCATTTTATTGCTCATGAAATTACGCAATATGATTATTCACATTTACCACAACATCCCATTCCACCGCCAGAAACAGATTCTGAAATTTCAATCTGTACGAAAAGCTCATCGAGCGGTGGAGATGAAGTTCATTTATATCAAGTGCATTCACCAATTTTGGTATCACTTGATTCCATTCAATATTGCAATGAAGATGAAAATGAAGATGCCATGGATGAAAATGAGATCAATTGTGCTGATGAATCCGAAGGGCATGAGGGCAATGAATAATGTTTTTCATCCTTCTCCAAACATAATTCTCAACAAATTCATTTCAAAATTACTCGATTCACGAGGGAGAGATGCTGAAAATAAAATGCAAAACTTTTTCCATTTTTAAAAAACACAGAAGGAAAATGAGTATAAATTTCAGTTGTATTGCTTCCTCAAGAACTCTGAAAAATTTTCATAAAACTTTTAAGTGCATTTTGTTGGGATTGAATCAATTCTTTTGGTTAATTAAGGCTGAAATTTGAATTCTACAAAATCGTTAAAATTTACATTTTATAAAACCGTTAAAATTTGAATTTTACAAAAATGTTAAAATTTGAATTTTACAAAAATGTTAAAATTTGAACTTTACAAAAATGTTAAAATTTGAATTTTACAAAAACGTTAAAATTTGAATTTTACAAAAATGTTAAAATTTGAATTTTACAAAAATGTTAAAATTTAAATTTTATAAAACCGTTAAAATTTGAATTTTACAAAACTGTTAAAATTTGAATTTTACAAAAATGTTAAATTTGAATTTTACAAAAATGTTAAAATTTGAACTTTACAAAAATGTTAAAATTTGAATTTTACAAAAACGTTAAATTTTGAATTTTACAAAAATGTTAAAATTTGAATTTAACAAAACCGTTAAAATTTGAATTCCACAACACAGCTCAAAATTCAAATTTTGCATAACCGTTACAATTTGATTATAACTCGCAGATGCGTCTTATTAGACAACTCTATGATGTAACAGCGATTTCAGAACTAGCTTAGCTTACTATTTTTTATTTCATCCGCCTCTTCAAATGCTACTATACATTTCCACTACCAACCCATGGATTCATATTCATTTTACTGTAATAGTCTTCAAAAAAATAAAATAAAAAGAGGAAAGAAGCAAGTTAAAGATAGAAAGGAAGGAAAGGATAATATTTTTTTTCAGTAAAGCGAATAATTTATAATGCATACTTTTTTTTCTTCCTACGATATTCAGCAAATAAAAGGAGAAAATTTATGGCTTCTTGCAGCATCCCACAAAAGGAATATAAAAAGGAGGAACTTTGATCATGATTTCTCATGATTCTATTCTTCTTCACCCTCTTTTTTTTTTCTTTTTATTATTTTTCGAACCTCAATTTTATAAATCGCGAATTTACATATGGTACCAATATCTGGTTTTATGCGGTGAAATTTTTATGCTTACTAAGGATTTTGTTTTGTTCTGTTAAATTGAAATTAGACTCATAAAAAGTAAAGGTTTTTTAAATTTTAAATTTTGATGATAAACTGAAACTTACGAGTCCGTTTACAAATCTTAGAAATCTAATTTAACTGAATTTATTGCAATAAAGCAATAAAAATGCTTTAAAATGATATATTTAAGTTAATGCTTAGTTTCTGTTGCTTTCATTTTATGTGAAGATACTTAAAAAGCTATAAAATCAACAAAAATGAAGAATTAGAATTGAAAAATATTTCTGAATTTGCTATTTTAGTTTAAATAAATAAAACTATCAAATAGAAGCATAAAACTTGACAGGTGTGTGCATTTATCTTCTGTTTTAAACAATTTAAGAGAATTTAATTCAAATTTAACTTATTTTTTTGCAATTCTTTACATTTATAAATTTGTATGAAACTGGAAGCTTTTGGCCATTTGAAACCACAAAATAGAATCACTATTGAAGTTGAAAAGGATGAAAAATTACTTTTTGGAATCAATTTGAATGGGAAAAACCTTTGGAATGGCTGAAAATTATTGTACCTTTGAGTCAATAACGGAAAATTCATAATCTTTTTATAATTTATGGAAATTGTCCATAATTTAAATCGAGCCTTTTTTTTCCTCCCATAAATGCTTTATAAAGAGGTGTAGGCAAGCTGTATATCATCATTTATGCTTTATTGGATTTATTGATTCGTGTTTATTTTCATGTAGGTACATGAAATATGACAAATGCATTTAATCAACAAAATGCATTGAGCATAACTAAAAGCTTGCAGCCATATTAATAAAAGGCTGCAATATTGGGGAGATTGATTGTTAACAGAAATTATTTTAAAACCGGAATAAATACGCGAATGAGTTTTTTTTTCTCAGAAATAGCTTACAAAATTTTATGTTGAATTTGGGGATCGTTCATAAATTAGGAACATGATTAAGTATCCAAGAGTTGGTCGGGGATTTTGTGAAAATTCATGTTTTGCGTAACGTAACAAGTGAACAAGCCCCAATGAAATTTCCCCTTTCATTTTGGGTCCTTCCAACAACCAAATATCAATAAATTTTAACTGTAATGACACTTTTCGTGCTTTTTATAGCTTAAATGGTTTCCAAGCCGACAGAATATTTTAAAATTCTAGTGAATCATCGAATTCAGACGCATTTTACAGTTCTAGAGCCAGACAAAATGTCGATAAAAATTTTAAATGCCATAAAAAATATTCGGCGAATGTAAAAAGATTAAAAGTTATGCTTTGCACTTGAATGAGCCATTAATTCTTTTCATACGTGAATTTATGCGACTTCACGATGCGTTCTGTAAAGAAAAATTCATGCAGACTTTTAAGATCTCCAATAAATTTCATTTTGAGTTATTTATTAAAACTGATTAAAATTTTAATATGCGTGGTTTTATTTTAACCACAACAACGTCGATTCTCATTGAAAAAAAAATCGATGCATTAATTCTTCAGAGGGCAATCAAAAATAAATTAATTAACATTTTTAAACGAGGGCTTTTTTTAAAATTGAAAATTAATTTTAATCGAAGAGAAAATTATTTAAATTTTTTTAAAATATTTTCACTCGATTTTCATTTTTCTTTGAACAGTCGTTAATTATTGCACTCATTGTTATGAACTCGAAGCATGGATTATTGAAAGATGTCAGAAAGGTGCATGTCACATTAGGTTTCATGTGGATTGCTATCACACTTGAGACTACTTAAAGTTGATTCGAATGACTATAGTTCGATCTTAGAGAATTCTAGTTGGATTTACGTGCTTTTTCGTTGATCCAGTCATTTCATTGCTATACTTAGTATCATGCAACTGTGCAAAGTTGGGTCAAAACCATCTCCTTAAATGAACAAATTTGGCGGGAACTTCAAAGCATCAAAAACAGCTTCATACATCACTTGACAACGTCATCAATTTAATTTTCATTATCGTTTGAAAGTGCGGGTTCAATTCTCACGATTTTCATTAAACTTTGCAGTCACTAAGCCCAACCTTCCAACATCCAAATCCCTAAATGCGCCAAAATCACACCTTTTATCGCTACCATACTTAATTCATTTTACAAATGACAACAATTATGAAGCCAAAAATGATTCAGACTCGAAAAAAAGAAGCACATAATAATTCATTAATTATTCAAATTTTTGGGGATGTTGAGAGTACACACGAATGAGCACAAACAATTAACGTTGTTGTCAAAAATCAAAAAATCGTTGCGTAAACCACATTAAACATAAATAACACCCTGATTGAAACAGAAAGTTTTCAGTTAGTTTTGTGTATGTGAGTTTGTATGAATATTGTAATAATATTATTATGAGGAGAATGAGTTTTCATCGTAATTAGGATTACATCCAAATACGCTTATTACTGTAAGCAAAATTTATGTCGGCTGTATGTACACATGATGGGTGAATTGTGTATGGGGGTGAAAATCCGTTGATGCTGTTAAAATTATGGCAATAAGAGGCAGTAGAGTGAGAAGTTTACTCAAGGGGATAACAACTTCGTGGGGAAAAAGTTTTGATTGGAGTTTTTAACAGTTCACGTCAAAATTTTGGTTAATAATCAGTTAAAAATTTAAATTCAAAACATTTTTCTCATCATGCTATTATCCCCTTGAGTTGACTGCTTTTAGCTACATAATTAGGTAAATATTAACATCAAACGTGAGCATAAATCTACTGTTATGTTTTTATGCTTCCAGGGCTACAGAATACTTTTAACGAACGACTATTATACTATGAGGAATAAAACATCAGCAAATATAGAACATTTTTTATCATAATGAGATTGTGAAAATATTATTTCCTGAAAATATCAACGACACCGAAACAAAACTAATTAGTTCTGTGAGGCATTAACCTCTATAGAATTGTGTCTATGAAAATTGTCTCAATAAATTTCAATTTAATAGAATTTTCACTCTATTCAGCATTGAATTTTAAAGCTTTTATTTTATTTCACCCTCTTCTTTTAAAAAAAGCATTCAACACAATAATTTTTATGGAAAAATAAAACAATAAATCGAAGTTACGCATTTCTGAGCATCCTTTATGGTTTAAACTTTTCACATTTTCACAACACTTATAAATCCCCGTTGAAATATCTTCACAATTATGTGTGATTTAATGTTTTTAAATGTTTAACTCTGTAATTAATGAGTTACCAAATGATTTTTCACGATGTTTTATATGGAAGAGTACAATAAGTTGGAGAGTTTTGATTGTTTGATGTTAAAAAAGCAGTTTTTTTTATGATGATGAGTTTGAAGGATCTTATCATGGTTGTTCTTACTCAATTCAAACCGAGATGATCTAATGCAGCTTGAATCGAAAGAATCTAATTCAACTCAACCCGAGAATATCTAATTCAGATCAAAAATCTGAAGAGATCTAATTCAACTCAACCCAAGAGGATAATACTCAGGTTGAACCAAGAGAATCTTATTTATCTTAACCATAGAAACCCTAGCCTAATTCAGTTCGAACCGAAATCGTTCCGAGTTTCTGAATATCTATTTCTCGGGTTGAGTTGAATTAGATTCTTTCGATTCAAGCTGAGTTAGATCTTCTCGGGTCGAGCTGAATTAGATTCTCTTGGGTCAAGTTTAATAAGAATCTCTCGGTTGAAGCTGCATTAGATCATCTCGGTTTGAATCTAAATCAATTCGTCCTAAGAGAAGCTGATTCAGCTCAACCTGAGAAGACAATTTCAGTTTGAACCGAGAGAATCTTACTCAGCTTGATACAAGAGGATCCAACTCAGCTTGATCCAAGAGGAACTAGCTCAGCTCGAATCAAGAGATCATATCATGGAACTAAATTCAAATACCAAAAAAGTAAATGCATAAAATGAGAACAAAGTCAAACAATTGCCATTGAATTAATTGTATTAAAAAAGCAGCCGGTATTAATTGTAGGAATAATAAAAATTTTTGTGTGCTAGCTGAAGAGAAATTGATGCCATAGGAAGAACAAAGGAAAGCATGCGAAAATCATTAGCAGGGATTGTGCTAATTACCAAAATATTTTCTCCCTCTCACCGTCTTTACACCAGTCTGTGAATGGAGCCGAAAGTCTGTTACTACATTAATGTGCAAACTTTAATTATCTTTTCTTATCTAAAACACAATCATAATTACACGAAGATACTTATGAATATTTAATCGATGATATTACATGAATTCATTTAATTGACTTTACAAGTGGATATAACTGACCTCGTGCAATAAAAGTTATTCATGTATGTAGATGAGAATTATGCAATATAAAGTGGTCCTGAATATTCATTAAGGGATAAAATAAATTTGTATTTGCAGTGCCTATGTATATTTTTCGTGAAAATGAAAACAAACAAATAATTAATGATGCATCAACATCAACTGTAAATTGTGGATATGAATATTATTGAAATTAAAATGTTCAAGTGCTAATTTGTTTGAAAATTGCGCGATAATCGAAAAATATCATTAAAGTTCATCATTCTGTGTAATCATGATGCTCAAAAACCATTTTCGGAAATGAATTTTCAATTTGATACGAGAGGAAGGTAAACAAATATGGTTGATGATGGAATAATGATATCATCCTGTCATATCATGATTTATTTTTTTTTATTTGAATATGATTCGATAAAATTGGCAACAGAAAATGTTTTTGGATAAAAATGATGAGCACATTAGGGGACTACGTGTGTTGAATGTCAAAGGAATTCGAAGCTATTAAATTGGAATAAAATTGTTTAGAATGTTTGGGAAAACACAAAGTGAATCCAATTTTATTCAACTAAGATGCCATTAGATTTTGATGCAGTAATTATATCTGAAATTCTTTAAATTAGACAAATTTTTATTGACAGCTGCTTCAAATAACATTTATGTCTGTATGTACACACGTTTCAAATGAAAATTTTCATTCTTACAATCTTCAAAATAAATACGACGAAGAGTAATGTCAATATTTAGTATCTCGCTGAAAAAGCATAAGAAAACTCAAATTTATCATAGGTAGGAACAAAAATATTTTTGTGCTTATAAAAAAAAAGAGGAAATGAAAACAAAATGTATGATTTTGAAGAAAGAATCGTGCTTTATTTGTTATTTGTGAAGAAATGAAAGTAGAATCTCTTTTTTGTGTGACAAGCATTCTCCATTTAATAATATCTGACATCTGTTTGTCGTTGATTATTTGTAAAAAGGAAGTACGGCGAAGACAAAAATTTTCTTATTGTTCAATTATTTTGAGAACAAACAAATTTTTTTGCACGTTTCCTACTTGAGAGATTGGCTGTGAGTCTGCTAAGATTTTTTTTAAGAGGGTCGATGACTCGTAATCATCAAATTAATGTCAGTCAAATCAATCAAAACTCTACGAGACAGATAAGAAGTAGTTGATTAATTTTTTTGGGGGGTTATGGATCACAATTGATCTGTAAAACCAGCGATGTATGTATGTATGTATGTGGGGGTTAGTCATTTATGGATACAATTAAGCATGAGTACACTGAGTATTGAAGTTACTTAAAAAATGTTATTAGACTGGCTTGAGGCTGGTGCTTTGCTGGATCAATGAATTTTGGCTTCTTCTCAGTCTGGAACCACTAATTTGGAATTTTTATACGGCGTGTGCTATTCAGGCATATATTAAAAGAAGATAAGGTAGAGGCTTAATTCATGTGCTGTGTTTTCCATCTTTTTACAGCAGGATCTGGTTAAAAGAGCTTTGCAAGAATCGACTTTCGATGTTTTACACTATGAGGCAGTGTTTCTCAAACTTTTAGACCAAAAGTGTTGTTTCATCTTTCCACAACACATGAGCTGCTGGTACTGACATACATACCTAGAATTTCCATGAAAAATTAGTGCTTGACGGAGCATAGTTTGAGAACTACTGGTATTTGTATAAATAAAGTCTGACTGGCTTTAGTGAAAAATAACCCGACTAGCTTTAGAAAATAGCTCCTGATAACTGTGAAACAGGCGCGTAGCCAGGGGGTGGATTTGGGGGACAAATCCCCCTTCGTATAGAGAAAAATTCTTCATCTTGCTATAGTTTTTATGAAAAACTCGAAAAATCCCCCCTCCCCCTAAAAGTTTTCCATACAAAAAAAAATTTTGACCCCCCCCCCCCCCCCCCTCTTCAAATTCCTGGCTACGCCCCAACTGTGAAAGTTCCACAATTCCAATAAATTTAAAGACGTCAATTTTATATTCGTCATGTTAGAAAAATTATTTTTATTGATATTTTTTACACCTTTATGAAAGGCTTACAATAAAACATAAAATAATGAGGAATAAACCATAAAAAAATTATTCGATATTAAAAACTAGAGAATTATATTCTTTATTTAAAGGAGTTATTATTTTTTATGGAAAAGATAAAATTCGGTAAGCTTAAAGTTTTAAAATCACGGCATCTATATTTTAATCCTCTCGGTTAGTTGTCTGATAAAATAAAGCCTCAATATTGAAGAGAGAAACCGATTCAGTTAAAAAAAATTTATAGTTTTTCATTTATGCTGGTAGATCTACCAGAAATTTTTCGGTAAATTAAGTTTTACGAATATTGTAGGATTGTTATTTCATCTCGTATTCTTGGAAGGAGATTAAATTCTATTTTCATATTCGGTTTTAAAGTGAAATATCCCAGATTTATAAGTTTTTAGATATTATCGTTGTGGAAATCTAGTAAATGACATGTAAGTAAGACGATTTTATAAAATGTTCTGTATTGAATCCAACTCAAACGCAACACGAATAATCCTAATAGAAACAATATACAATCAAAGACACTGAGACAAACCAAAAATATCAATGCCTTTCTTTAACAGCTCTCTATCCGTATCCTTTTCCAATTAAACTTTTTGAAACTTTGACTTTACTTATCGAACCGAATTTTATCATGCATGCTCTATCATTCATTAGTCTTCAAAACCTAGTGTGAAAACTAATAATAAAGCTATCACAAATATCATCATTGAAATGATAAAGAATCCAAGCAGTGTCTTTTGTATGATTTGGAACTGAAAGTTAAATTTAAAATTTATCAAACAATTCAAAAGAAATAATTTGAAGATACTTACAGGCATAGTTTTCGAATTCTTTGTCCTCGAATTTTTATTCCTCTTCATATCTCCACGTATATCCACGGCCTATGGATGAAAATAATCAAATTAATTTTCTAGCCAACAAATTTTCGAATGTTACAAAATTATTACCGTGAATATTATGTGCATGATGAGATAAAATGAAACAAATGCTGCTAAAATATATAGCGTATAGTGCGGTAGTCTAGCTTCCGGAAATCTAACAGCGAAAAATATCGTAATTACGGCCAATGCATGAGTTATGTTTCCAAACGCTTGATGGAGCCAATTAAAAAGTGACCTCGATCTAGAATTTGCATCGGGGCTGTTTGCAAATTAACAAAAAAATTAAATTTAATTGGATTTAAATTCGTAATTTGATCGTTTTACCGAAAAACTGCACCGATTGGCTGTATAACTGTAAGTCCGAGCACTATGCATCCAATTATTGCATGTGCTGATGTGCTCCATTCTCCACGATACACAAAAATTACAATAAATCCAGCTATTGTTAAAGTCCAAGATAAAAACATGCAAATTACATGCCAGATGAACCAGACATCCTGTCCACAAGCTTTTTTATTCGTCCATGACTTCTTAAAATATCGAGCAAAGACGATGCCAATAGATGTAAGTCCAATCCAAGAGACAATCATGAAAGAGCCGTGGATTAAAATGAAAACATTCTGTGGCTCATTCTGTCTGACATATTGTGGAACAGTCAATTGGACTGGTGAAAATGATATTCCATGATTTTCGTGCTTAGCAATGTTATTTCCCTCACCGAGTGGTCCACTAGCGAGTAACAAATAATATTTATTATTTATTAAATCAAATTCCACTCCTTTGACGGCACTGAAAGCTTTTCTTTGAACTTTACAGTAAACTCTTCCATTTATGGACATCCCTTCTACTAGCTCAATATAATCTTGGGCCTACAATGTAAAATTCAAAATTATTCTTCGTGATTTTCTGTAATTTTAATTCCTATTTACAGTAGTTCGTTGAGCTTCAACATTACCAAGTGTCCATGATGCAAATGATTTATATGGATCACTTCTGACACACTCAATTACTGATGAATCTCCCATACTTTTTGTATTTGATAAGCCCATCGCAACATATTCGTGGCTGTCTGTTAATTAATTTAATATAATTTGAGTCGATATAAATCAGTGCTTCTTAAACTTATCAGGTCATGTAAAGGACTAGCTGCTACTAATGACCATCCCAAGACCATCTTGTGGATTAGAAGCATAGTTTGAGAACCACTGACATAATCAATTCATTAAACATTCCTATTATCCATAGATTGTTGTCATTATGACAAGGATAACTTATACTTAGTTGTGGGGTCCAAGGATCTTAACCTACCTTGTGCAAGCAACTCAAACGTGAAATTATGATTATCATAAGACACAGCACCCAATATATCACACATTCTACCCAAATAACAATTATCAGGAACTCCAAAGCAAACTTTTGTATCTCCACATCCATCGTAAATTGTAAGGTCTTCCTCTATTGGGAGTGTTGGATCAATTGGAATTATTGGATTTTCAGTCGGTACCAAACTCGGTGGAATTACAAATTGTAAAGATGTTCTCCGTTTAGCCCAAAATGTTTGAAAAGTTCCAGCAATCGTGATGCTTAAAACATATTATTAAATTTGTCGATAAGATAAAAAAAAGCGATTAAGTTTAAAAATATCTTACAAAAAATTAAATACAATTAGTTCCGTAGTAATTGGTGCTTCCCAAATGATATCAACTGCTGTTTTTTGGGCGGAGCCTGTATGGGTTGCACTTGATCCAGAAATATTTCTACAATTAATCACTCTGACATTTTCTGATAAATGAAATGTTCCAATTAGTTCCTCATTCTCTGATATAGCTTGAATTAAAAATCCTCCAAATGACTGAAGAATGTCAGTTCCTTCGATTCTGATTGATATTAGTTGACCAGAAATAATAATTGATTCAATGATCACGTTCACAGGTAGATCCCCAAGTTGATCTTGAAATCCACCATGAATTGGCATCATCGAATCACAAGCCGTCAATGGTGCACCACCTGGACTACTCACTACATATAAAATACAAAAACTAGCTATGTAAATGAGTTTGAACCACATTTTAATAACACTCTGTAACTTTTTAAAGAATAAAAGACGTCCGAACGCTTTAAAATTTGCTGCCAATCTGAAGATATAGACAAAGAATTTTAGATAAAAGATATACTAAACTGCAGATTAAATGATAAAAATAAAATTGATAAAAATAAATATAAAGTCTTAGGTATATAAATTGTGTATATATATTTTTAATTTTGATTTCCTTTTCTTATCAATAATTGTTAAATAATTAGTCACGTTTATTGATGCTTAATTACATTTAGTCACTGTGGATTTCCCGGCAGAAAAATTTGTAGATTTAAAGACATAGTAAGAATGCCCCAGAAGCACTATTTACTATACACCATTCCTGCTCTAAACCTATCCTCGGAGAGACCTTACTGTATAGACTAAAGGTAGTTGCAAATTGTAGGTGCGTACCGAGAAACCGTCACCAGAGAAGAACAACAGCTATGGAATCTCCTCAAAAAATTTAAAGAGTTCTTGGAATTCAGCATCTGCTCATATTTAGCTTATACCACAAAACCAAATGTTTACCAACTTTAAGTCCATGTCTACATCATTATATGTCCCAATAGCCAACCCACAGTCTACAAATCGCTTGCTGATGACAAAAAAGGTCAAAAGAATTAAATAATCTTTGAGATCTTCTTCAATACACAACATCAGTTCCACCAACGCAAGACTCAGTTGACTACTGCTGGGGAGGAATTATTTCAGAGCATTTTACTTTCTAAATTTAACATCACTGCTGATTCTATGAGATCGCTGATAATTCTCAAAAGATTTGCAATCTAATAAATCCTCACCGTCGCAGATGACAAGTTTGTCCAATACAAATCAAATCTTTCAACTATTGTAGCACTGAAAAGCAGATTTTAGATCATTCAATCAAGATAAACATGCTTCATCTTACTAAAATTTAACAAAACCCCAAAAATGTGTTGGCGCTATCCAGTACAGCAATATATTCGATTTTTGAGATGGATCAGCTTGCGAGATTGTAGAATAGGAATTACCGCAAGCCATTATTTTCACTGAACTGTCTGCGGGTGAGAGGAAGTGCCCTAAAATTTCATTTGATTTTGAATCAGCACGAGCTTGAATTAGAAAACCCTTGAATGTGTAATTAGAGGCCACATTTTGAATTGTAATTTTCATCTGTTGACCACGAGCAATTGTAATTGAATGCGGGAGAATTAGAACAGGCGGAATTGATGTTTGAGTTACCGAATTTCCATGTAGAGGCATCATTGTAGAACATGCTGAAGTGTTATTAATACCAAATGAGGTACAATTGCAGTATGTGTTGCATAAAAGCATTAAAACTAAAATTTTAAACAATACTGTGAACTGATTGCGATACATTTAATGCTTTTAGTGCTACAAATGAAGGATTAATTCTTTGGTTTCTGATTTCCACTGATAGAAGCTTCAATGCTATAGATACACTGAAAATATTTGCAAAATGGTTTTGTTTGATTGACAAAAATTTTATAGACAACAGGCTATATGATTACCATCAGACTATGACGTCAAAAGGTATAAATTATTCATCGCTTTGTTTTTATCAATTTTTTTTTGTGAATTGGCCATCATTAAAAAACTCACGTAACAGACACATTATTCATTTTAATACCAGTATGATTGGAAAATTGCTTAATTTTACTATAATTAAGATTTTTGATCGACATACTCAATAACAAAAGTTAAATTTACATTTTTATACAAAAAAATGTGTATGAAAAGCTGTTTGTTGATGTGGTAAATTTGTTTGATTCTGGTGAATTTGATGAAATGTGGTGAGTTTGGTGAATTGAGGTGAGTTTGTTGAATTCTTGTGAATATGATGAAATGTGGTGAGTTTGGTAAATTGAGGTGAGTGTGTTACATTGTGGTAAATTTACTGAATTGAGGTGAGTTTTCTGAATTTAGGTGAGTTTGCTGAATTGAGGTGAGTTTGTTGAATTAAGGTGAGTTTGTTAAAATGTGGTGAGTTTGTTAAAATGTGCTGAGTTTTCTGAATTGAGCTAAGTTTGCTGAATTATGGCTAGTTTGCTGAATTTTGGCGAGTTTTTTGATTTGTGATAAGTTTACTTATTCGTTTTGAGCTTGCTGAATTGAGGTGAGTTTACTGAATTATAAGGAGTTTGTTAAATTGAAAAAAACAATGATGGTTCTCCTTAAATAACGACCAACATAGCTGAGAACTATTACTGTACATATTTTTAAAATCTACTTCAGCTTCATAAACAAATTACTCTGACAAGTACTTGTCTACTCCAAAACTAAAAAGCTTACAATTTACAACAATCAAGGAAGCTTTAAAAATAATTTAATTTACATTACTACTCCTTTCACTCCATGAATCACAATGTTAATTAATGGAAACAGAATGTGGGTTTATAAATATTTATCTAGTGCTTAATACTACATAATACGCTAGACATTCTGACCATAAAACCATAATGCTTACTTTAAAAAGTCACAGAAAATAACACTAATAGTCAATTTGGGTAGAAGAAAAAAAGTAAAAAACATAATAAATTATTGAATTTTTTGTTGGTTTTCATAATTTATAAACATAAATTATCATAAATTTTAATTTAAAACTTTTTTTCTCTTCTCTTATTCCAGTTGGACTGAACAATGTGATGTGTATAGAAGAATGAGTACAAAAAGTTAAAACTACATGTTCATTATGTCAAGAAGTCACTTAACTATCAAGAACTGAAGTTCATTAAAGTCATTTAAGAGCATGAAAAAGTTTTCTTTTAATGTTAATGTTGTTACAAAAAAATATAAATGTATATATAAAGCTATGTATGTACAAACATTAGAGTAAAGAAGGAAATTACGTCAGCCATAGGAAGATGAAGGTTCATGGAGTTATTTTGCATCCAATTCTTGGTGACATTAATAAACATCCTTTTTATACATTCTTATCTTCTCATCATTTTCACCATCAAGAGCCGAGAAGCACATAAATATGGGCTGTATTGGAATAAAATAGTTTTTTCTGAAATTATATCAAAAATAGGTCGTTGACTTACTATCCTAACAAAGGCAGGTGTCTAGAGCTACCCGGAGCACATTGAAATTGGAAATCAATCTTCTTTAGTTTGGGAAGTAAATATAATTTAAGTGTGACCAGGATAAGTGCACCGAATAGCCTTACTAAACCAACTTCAGATTTTAAAAAGTATCTTAATTCAAAAATCTTATTTTGTATGAAATATCACAATATTTTAGAACCTCACCTTCCTCCTAAGCTTGACATACTTTTAATTTGGCAGCCATATGACAACTTCTTCCAATCATTTGCTCCTCGGGACCTGGAAAAAAAGGGAAATTACAGTGTCGCGACAGAGAAAAAAATGTCAAAGAATTTTTATGAACCCCCTTTTTCAGTGTGCTTCCTATTACTTTCATCTGCTTTCATCATACTATAAAAATTCCACTTAGACTATAAGACTCTTAGTAAAAAAAATATTCTCGTTGCACTCATTTATGGCAGCATGTGAAAATGTTAATTTTCCACAATATAATCACAGTGTAAATTTGTGCTTTAATGTTAATGAGCATTGATGTAATAATTTACGTGTTTTGAACTTAAAGATAAGGAAAATAAAGTTTTATTTGGACTTTATCATGGAGATTTTAAGAGGCAATAAATAGGGTGACCATCTAATTTTTATGAAAATACAGAACTTTTGATAAATTTCCCAAAAAATACAGGACACAAAGGAAAATTTGAAAATTAACGGATATTTTCGTGAAAAAAATACAGGACCTGGAACAAAATTTTCAAATTTATACAGGACAGGGTTTTGAAATACTGGACTGTCCGTTGTAAAACTACGCAGATGGTCACCCTAGCAATAAAGCATGAATTTTGTCTTGATCTTCAGCAAATATTTCGAATACTAAAATAATTGATGGATGTAAGCAAGCATAAACTAGAGTCATGGTGAATTTATAAGGATACATACTTGAAATAGGAAGAGAAGCAAGAAGGGAGACTTTTTTCAACAACTTCAAAAATCCTTGCTAAGTTCCTGATTAAAAAATGCTTAAAATAAAGTTTCAGACTTTGTCAAATGAAATTCAATCAACAGCCATCAAAATGATTCTTTGCATTTTATTCTCGTCTTTTTGATTTGAAAACGATACGCTTTTCTTCCAAAAAAGCTGTGCCTGTGCTTCAGTTTTGAGGATTCAAATCACTTAAACATTCACTTCCGTTTACCTAAAGAATTACTGTCACAAAACATTTTTCAATATGCCACGCACTCTCATAAAATCAATTGGAATCATGGATCATGGAACTTAGAAGTTCTTGAGGTTATTATTTGACACTTTTAAGACATTTACAGCATCTGCTACAGACAACATTGAATATTTTATACCAATTCTTTTCCAATTCCAAGTCCATCTGGTTCCATTACGTTTCCGAAATTTCTTATAAATTTCGGCAAGCACCATTTAATCACTTAATGATCCTATTGCCTTCTGAATGATCCCATTGCTCTTTGTATAACATCATATGTATTTTAAAGTACAGAAAATATTTCAAAATTTCTTACCAACAGAAACTGAAGACCATCCATAAATAGCTATAGCTTGAATAATAATGCGCTTAAAAATGAAAACTGTTTTCAACGGGCTACGATAAGAGGCTTTTCAGCAAATAAATCACAAAGTTTTATCACGTCTTTTTTTTATTTTATACATTTCATGCCTCTCCCCTTGCTGTTTTTTGCTGTTGCGTCCCCTCCATCTATACTTGAATGCAAAAGCAAAAAGGAGATCAAATAAGAGAGATGAAAATTGTGGTAAAGAGTCAGTGAAAGCAGATGAAATAATGGAAGTAAATGGAAAATACATAAAATATTGCTGCTATCTCAACACGACTTTTATTGAACCTTGTCATCATTCGTTCCGTACATTACGGCATAAAAATGAGGAGAGAAAAAGGCTCATCTTGATATCTTGATTTTTAAGCATAAAAAATTTTTTATGGCGATTATTGACATTTTTACAAGTTCTTCAAAATGCTCGTGACAGATGTGTCTACAATTCGCGCACGCTTCTTCCTCACAATTATTATTATTGAATGGGAGACAAGAGCAGCACAAGAATGAAAAATTGAACATGTCATAAATTACTTCTGTTAGCATAGATGATTCCTTTCGATAAGGATGGAAATAAAGGGAAGATGTGCACAATCATTTGACATGATTATTTTGTTTTCCACATTCGAACACGAGAGAAAAATCAATTCCCACAAATGCTCATGCTATTTACATTTTTTTGAGCATTTAAGTTAAGGAAATGGCTATGACGTTCGCACTTTTTCTGCATTTCTTAAATTATTTTCTATTATTTTTTGACTGTTAAATTTTCAAATTATTTCCAAATGTTAAATTTTCAAAATATTTTTTACCGTTAAATTTTCAAATAATTTTTGTTCGTTATCAAGTATTTTCTCAATGCGCCTTCTTAAGTCATTCGCAACCACTTTCCCACTCATTCCCATCTTTTTCACATCCCACCACTGCTCAAATATCATTTCAAAAGCAAAAATGAGCACAAATCTTTTAAATTTACATAAATTTATCATTTATATCCAGCAACAAAATGGAAAACTTTTTTTTCTCATTCTCATTTCTGTAATAGAAATGTTTTCCTTTCAGATGATGTAAAAAATGGATTTTATTCCTTTCCATTCCGTTCAATGAATGGCGAAAGAAGAAAAAGCAACAAAACTATGAGATAATATTATTCTAAAGGATCACTATATTCTCATGGGTTAGCTCCTATTGTTTACATCGGACATAAAGTATATGGATATACAGAAATAGTCAAATTAAATGAAATTATTACCAATAAAAAGTGTATGTCTGTATCCATTTATATATCATATATAAGATAATAAAACTTTGATTTTTTTAAGGCAGCTCATGCTTAGCTGCAAGCAAAATGTAGAAGTTTTATGAGTATAATGAATCTTCAACTTTTTTTTTAGATCTTGAAAACTTTTTTCTTTTTTAAAAAAGTAAATTTGGCAATAAATTTAATCTGAGAAAGGATTTTAGTGTTCATTTCAGCAAACAAATATGAATCTTTTTTTTGCAACATATGCCAGACGTAATTTAGACTTTGAAAAGTTATGTTTAATGCTTATAGGGATTCTTGAATCAAGGTACAAACAAAACGAGAATTTAATTTCATTCACTGACTCATCTAAGTGACACAAACTCCTTGGTTTACAGCATACAGCATTGAACCTACAAAATACTTTACCTCAGAATTCTTCAAAGCTTTAAAAAGCTTGCATCTTTCTTAATGCACACAAAACAATCATCTGGATTGCATTTTTCATCAGAATTCAATGTAATAATGACTAAGCAACGAAGAACTGCATTTGATTAAGCTCTCCTAAGTCCAGTAAACGAAAAAAGTTGATTTCACTTCAAAAGCTTCAACTGAATGCAATCGATACTCTATGCTGCATACAACATAAATAATTTATCGACCAAAACTATCCACAAAGCATTGAATTCATGAAAATTTAATAACTCGATTTTTTAAAGCTAATGGAAGTCATGATGACCAACAGAATTAAATAAAACTATAGTCATAGTCTATAAAGTAAGTATTTAAAGAGCAAATAAAACAAAAATAAACTTCCCGTATCTGAATGTGGAAGCTTTACGATCTCAAAAGGCCAGATGTTACATATGACTCACCATATGGATGTGCTGTATTATTTAAACTCCCCAATTCCCTTTCAGCATGAAAAGCTTCTTTTTAAGATCCAAAAAAAAGGGATGAAAAAATGTTTTCTTCATTTTTTCAATTTGTCAATGTCCTAACCATCAATTCCTGTCATTTGTTTGATAGTTGAAATAGCCAAACTTTAGAAATGAAAAAATAGAAAAAGTTTTGCTCTAGAATTACCATACAAATCGGAATTTAAAGTTTTTTTGTGTTTGTTTGTTTGAGAATGCAAAGAAGATGGTGGAATAACAATTCAGGAAGAGAAAAAAAATCAATAATTCATGAATAAAGTTTTTAGTTCCATTTTCTTTCTCGCTTTCTAATTCACATTTCAGCCTGTATGGCGTCTAGGAATAGCATAAGTAGAAGTAGCTGGTTATTATTCCCTTGGACAGAGTGGGAAAAGAATGGGATCTAGTCAATTAATAGATTTGAATTGGATGTTGGATAAGGGATATTAAGGTTTCATTGGAATCACTATTAAAGCACTTGATATTTGTATCGTGACTTGATGTTCACTACATTCGAACTAGGAAACACTGAAGATGATTGTAGGATTAAGTTAAAGCCACTAGTTTTAAGACAGTGTTTAAACAAACTCATAAGTAAGAACAAAACCAAACAATTAAATTAAGTTCCAAATCTGTCAACTCAGCATAAACAACTTTATTCAACAATACGACAACCAAAATCCACAGACAACATCCAACTCTGCCTCGAGCATTATTTTCATCTCGAAATAAAAAATTCTAATGAATTTATCGAAATGTAATGGAATCTTTTAACTGCTCTGCTGCAGACGACGCTCGTTTCGAAATTATTTTCACAAGAATCATAAATCATAAGAATGTTTCCAATTTACCTGAAAAATGGAATAATAAAAGACCAGAGAATGGAAAAAGTTTTATTCTTCTCGTTCCTTGAATTTCAATTTCTTGTTTCAATGAATTAAATTTCCGGCAGACGGTATGACATTTTTTTTCTGAATGTGGAAAGTTTGTGCAGATTGTTGGAAAAGCTTTTATAGTCAAAACGGAATAGCTAATTTAAATAGGTTTAATTTATTTCTATGATGAATTATCGATGGAACTAATGTATTGATGGTTTGTGCATTTTCCATTAAAAGACATTTAAATTGTGCTGTTTAATCGGATTGCTAATTGTTCTGTCCAAAATGGAACATCAAAGCTTAATTTTTTCATTGAGAGCTTTTTGGCAACATTCAATTATTGGCTGTAGAGTGTGAATGACATTTCTAGCTTACTATTTAATACCAGTCAACAAATTGCATCTAATTTTATACATGTCACAACATTCAAGCAGTCAAAAGCTCACATACACTAAATTGCCATTCCTCCTACACAACCTTAAATGTTTGAGGTGTTTAACGAGAACGAACAAAACAAATGTTAACAATGAGAAGTAAATCAAGCGTAACAGCAGTTCTATAATTATCTAAATACACATAAATATTTATAATCCATCCATAAGAATCATAATTTACTCGGGGGTAAATATATAATTTTCCATAATAACTCCATTTAGTGTTTACATGCTTGCTTAAAATTATCAGTTCTGTTGATCAACACCTATCTAATTAATCTTTAGTTGGATATAATAAATAGGAGTGTAGGAATAGATTTGCGTGTAAATTTAATTCAACCTGTAATCGACAAACATGAATAAAGTGATTTTGTTAACATTTTTGGTTGTTGCATTTGTTGCTGTTATTGTAAGTTGATATTTTAATGCCATGAGTAAATTTAGGGATCATAAAGGATTTTAGGGATCATAAAGGGATTAAAATAGTAAACTAGTTCGATCATAGTCTTTCAGATCGTGTCAAAGATGAACACAAATATTCTGTTTCATAGCTTAATACTGCGCCAGAGCTAACCATTGTTATGCTTATACTGAGAGTTCTACACTAGAAACCTCACTTTTATATTATTCATCTAATTTCAATGCTCAATTACACTACTTTTTAATCCCATAGAGCGAAGCAAAAGGAACAAAAGCTCCGAAGCAAGAAGGAGAAGGAGGAGGCACAGAACCAACTGGTGATTCCATTCCAAAAGGTCCAAAGAGACAAGGAGGTGGTAAAGGAGGTAAAAGATCAAAGCCAACAAAATCTCTACCAGTTTCACCAGGGGAGAAATAAGGCACAATGTCTTTAAGTTCTTAATAAAAATAATTAGCCATCAATTGATCGTCATGTTCTCCTTTAAATGCTACAAAAATAATAAAGTTTCGAGTGTACAAAAAGATTAAATAAATTGTTTTAATTTCTTCAAAATAGAGTTATTTGTAGCTCTTGGGGGATGTCACTGCATGACACTAGTATCGTGGAAAATGTGTTTTTTAAAAATCTCATTTTTAACAGACGTTTCTTAAAATATCAATAAAAGCAAAAATCTGAATTAAATTTTCATTTAAAAAACTTACCTTTCTTTCAATCCTGTTTAATGCCAGTTTCAATTTTCATTTTCTATCCTGCCACTTTCGTCACTTACAGTTGCTGCATTTGGTTTATTTTCTTTATTGGCTTGTTTGTCAATTTCTTAAATTGGTTTCATTTGTCTCGCTTGACCAAGATGATGATGATGTTGACTGCCTTCTTCTTGAATAAAATCACGTCGTTCTATGTCCTACATTATTGTAAAATCATGAGATAAAAGGATGAAAAAATTTAACAAATAGAAAGACAGACTGTAATTTTCGTTTAAGATTGTTTGAATTGAAATACGAAGGAACAAGATGCTATGCCAATAATAATATATACGATAGAATTCTTATTCTCTACATCCACATTCAATGTCTTTAGATGGTTATTGTGCACAACAGAGAGACAAAAGCTTTAAAAAGGCAGAAAAATGGACAAAATGCATTTTGAATAAATAAAAAGATTGAAATAAACTTCTTTTCTGCTTTGTCTGTGCAGAGCAAATGCCAATTTTGATGCTATCAGCATTAAAGGAAAGTCTCAAATTTCATCAAAATTAAAAGAAACTTAGCGCATTTCAGGTGATTGTGAACTGAAAACTGGAATTTGGTTCAATGGCTGATTTTTAAAGCTTTAAGCTTTTTTCAAAAAATTCTGAATCTATAACGAACTTAATACGAAGCTAATGTCTATGATTTTAGTAATAATACCAAAGAACAGATAGTTATTTCAGTAAATACATGCTAAAACCAAACTTCCGGATGTTTTTACAGCTTTTCATACTTTAATATAAGCGAGTAACACAGCAAACCTATGTAAGTCAAAAGCTTGCAAAACCTTTCAGAATGTATTTTAAAGTCTACTGGATAATATTTGCAGTCATCATTCTTGCTGCGATTGCTGTAAGGTTATCAAATTATTGAAATTTAATAGAAAAATTGAATTTTATACAAATTTCAGGTCGAAGCACATCGTTACAGCTCTTCTCAGGATTATTATGATTACTATACTAACTCAACTTATGGACGACGCAATGGAAAGAACAGGAAGAACAGAAACAAACAACAATCTCAAAAGCAAAGAAATACCCAACAAGGAAGTAGACAAGGTGGACAACAAGGCTCTAGACAAGGCGGTGGTCGTCGACATACTACAGCCAGTCCTTATGTTAATCCTTAAAAATTCTTTTTTTTCTGTGAAAATTAAAATTAAAATGAAAAATAAAAATTATTTATTTTGATAAAATGGAATTAGTTGTAACTTGATGTCTTTTGAACGAATTCGAATTCGCCAAAGATGAACAACCTCTAATGTAAACTAAAGTCAATAACTGAATTCAGAGGTTTCCAATTATCTGTTGCTAATCAAAGGATAGTAAAGTCAAATTTTAACAAACTTTAATTTGATTATGAAAATCTAGAAATCTAGAAAAACTTAACCATTAAATTATTTAATTTCCCAGCTTTAATTCCTATAATTGACTTCTGTTTCCTCTTATAAAGGACAGCCTTTGAATGCTAGTATAAAATTATAAATTTCCACTTCAAAAACTCAATATATTTATATATATAAACAAGGTTTCAAAACAAAATCAAATTCAGAACAAGTTCAACCTTCAAGATGAATCTCAAAATTCAATGGATAGTTTTAGCAATAATCATCCTTAGTGCTATTGCTGTAACTTCTAAATAGTTCAAAATTATAGCAAATTCGAATTAAAGAGTTTATTTTCTAGGTTGGTGCACAAAACTGTGGTGGAATTGACAATAATGACTACAACGACTATGGAAACTATGGAAGACGCAGTGGAAAAAACAAGAAAAATAAAAACAATAATAAACAAAAGAGCCAAAAGAATCAGAAGAAAAATCAAAAGCAGAGAGAACTAATTGAAACTATTATGGACCCGTACGGGGTCCGTAATTTTTAAAATTTTACGAATGTTTAAGGTTTTCAGATTCAAACGTTTTAAGCTTAATATATTATATTATGTATGACGTGGCTCAAACAATTTTAGTAAAACACTGATTTAGAGGAAATAATAAAGTTTCTATAAACTACAAATTAAATTAAATATCTATAATTTCGAGCCTAGAGTAAGGTCAAAGAATAACAGTGACTTTGTTCAAAATTTGAAATTGATTTTTAAACATCAGTTGATTCAGAACTTTTGTGAAATGCTGGCTGGTAAAGCATTCTGGATAGCTTTTGCTTCCCCATTTTTTGGAGCTTTAATTGTAAGTTTAAAATTTAAAATTGTGATCAAATTATTAAAAAAAAAACAATTCCAGGTTGAAGCTTTCTTTTGTATTAGAAATTCTTATAATCCTTATGTTATACCTATACCCAGCTACACTATCTCCCCCACTTACCCCGACTACTACGATTACGGTAATTATAACTCATTGGGGTATAATCGACTATTTGGAAGAAGAAAAAATAAAAAGATTTCAAAAAATCAAAAAAACAAAAATCCAAAAGCTCAAAATGCAAAAACTCGAATTCCAAAAGCAACAAATTCAAAAAATAAAAAGCAAGAGATTATTGAACAACAAAAATCCCAACGTCTTACTACAATGAGTGCTCCTTTAAAATTTAAACCTTTTGCTGTGAAATCTTAAATTTTTTACAAATTGAATAAAGTTTATAAATTTGCAATCCATTCAAAAGTTTTTTATTTTGTTTCTTAAAGTTTTGCTACTTTGAGTGATTAGCGTCAAAAGATGTGACGTCAATCATTTGATATGATTGTCATTCATTATTTTCAAAAATTCGAATGTTTTTAAGAATAATAAAGAAAATTTGGATCAGTAATCACTTATTTATTACGTAAGAAAGCCTTAAATCACCGTTATTAGTGCCTGAACCAATGACGTCGGAGATGAAAGCTATAATTTCAACTATTTTATGCTTTACATATTGACGAAATTTTAAAAATTCTATTTAAACAAAGCTAGCATCAAAACCAGCACAAATCAATCAAATTCAACAAGATGTGCTGCAAAGTATTTTGGATAGTATTAGCTTTAATGTTTCTAAGCTCTATTGCCGTAATATTCTAAAACCTTCGACATTTAATATTTATTCTAAAATAATGAAAATTATTTTGTAGGTTAAAGCTCAGTTCTGTGGTGGAGACTATTACAACTATGATTATGGACCATTCAGGGGCTTAGGATTATTTGGAGGACGATTTGGAAGGAGTAGAAAAACAAATCGAAGACAACGAACTCAAATGCAAAGAAACAACCAACGAAGGAATTTATTAAACTTGGAAACATCAAACCAAATGAATTTGATTTCTTTTCTATCGCGTGGAAGATTCTTAGAATAAAAATTACTTTAAAAGCTTTGAACCTTAAATTCCTTTTCATTTGAACCAGAGATCGAAGCCGATTTTTTCGGCTTAACTCAATTTTTGATTATTTTGATAGAAAAAAGCCATTTAACACCCATTTTAAGTATTTAAATTGAACTTTACATGCTTTACTATGATTCTATGAAATATTTTGTCAGCATGTAGCTATAGTAAGCTCTGAATTTCAATTTAGCCGATTTTAAGCCGATCGGCTTAAATTTCGGCTTAACATTCTTTAACTTGAAATTCTGAGCTCACTATAGCTACATGCTGAAAAAATATTTCACAGAATCATAGTAAAGCATGTAAAGTTCAATTTAAATACTTAAAATGGGTGTTAAATGGCTTTTTTCTATCAAAAAAATCAAAAATTGAGTTAAGCCGAAAAAATCGGCTTCGATCTCTGATTTGAACATCAGTTTCAAACTTTTAATTCCAAAAGTGACCAAATTTACCTTGAATTTGTCTTAAAAAGCAGCTAAATAATAACGAAAAAAGAGTGAAACGGATGCACTCGCCAGACACAACAAAGATCTTTCATTTTTTAATTCTTTTAAGTCTCTCAAAATGCCACTCGAGCAAACAGACGAGAGAAATGAAATAAAAGCAGAAAATTTCATTTCAGCTACGATATAAAAAAAACTGAAGCTGATTTTCCACTTTGTTGATTCAAACGAAAAATAGAAAATTGAGAAAGGAAAGGAGTGCAAAAAATGCTGAATTTCTTTGTGCAGTCGACGACACAGACAAAGGAATATTGCAGTTCTTTTTTTTTTGTGTGATGAAATGTCAATTCAAATGATGCTTTTCATCATGCAATATGATAAGTATAGAAAAGGAACTGAGAAATGTCTGGTGCGAATTAAGTCTTAACATGGAGCTGATCAAAGCTATACAGTGGAGGAGGCAGGCATGATTGGGTAGAATTTCATCCTTTAGTCAAGCCCCAGATGCTAATAATGCATCGGAATAAACCACTTTGATAGTGTTTCTTCATTTGGGTTGTCAATGACAATAACTCAATATCCTAAATTGTTTTCAATTAATGTACAGAAATGAACAAACAAGGCACATGAGTGGACACATAAAATGAATCCTATAATTAATGCATTTATCGCAAAATTTGAAACGCGATGATAAATTCCAAATTTCATTGATAATACAAAAATACCAAAATAAACAATAAGCCAGTATAATTAATTAAATTCAATCCATCCAAACCTCATCGAGTCCTCTATAAAGCTTGGTCGGAGATATTTTTACTGCTTTAATGATTTGGAGCACACTCGGTATTAATAGAATGCAATGATTGATCACAGTCCTTGTCGTACTTACGCAGCATGGGATTTGAGATTTTTTCATGACTAATTTCCAGTGCTGATTTTAACAAATCAACCTGTAGGATGAGAAAATTGATAAAAAATTAGCTGGGATTAACTTTGAAATAGTAATTTATGGATGTATTTAGTTTGAGGCGGATTTTAATGAGTTTGAGGAACTATATGGAACAGTTGATGCTGTGTTTTTGGTATAGGCAGTAAGTTTGGTTGTGTATTGTGACAATTGTGACTTTATAAAATCCTGTTGCTTGGAAAAACGTTTACTGAGCTTCATCTTAATTGATATTAAGTTAAACATAGATCTTAGGCTGAGGGTTGAGGGAAGTCTGAGGATATCTACCTCGATATCCGAGGAAAAGGCATATCTTGAATAAAAAGTCAACTTTTTTGATGGTGTAGGCTCAACTCTTATCTATCCTGGGTTCATAGAGATTTAAACCTAATAAGTTATTAAAGCTACATCCAGCAGAACTTCCAAAACCTTCTATAAATAATTTCTTCATGCCAACAGCAAATCAAACAACTTCCACCTTTTGAACTAGTAGCACTAATCGAAAAATTGTTCCGACGACAAACGATTAAGTCAATGTCAAAGTCTGTCTACAAAGCATAAGGTAAATCTTAAAAAATTATTAAGTGAGAAATCAAAAGATAAATCTTCAAAATTTACAAATTAATCATTCAAATGGAGAGACGACGACTTTGACAAGTGAGAAAAATGGAAGTAAAAGTTTCATTCGAGTCGGAGATGAGAAAAAAGAAAATTTTAAAAAATATCAGAAATACGAATGAATATTCTGTGTGGCGTCATATTTTATCTAAGAAATTGAAAAAGCAAGGAAGCGTTATAGCAGAAAGGAGCAAAAGAAATTGCCATCTCATTGATTTTAATGGAAAAATATTTTTCATTCACTTTCCTTAAGCGAAACGGTACATAATTAATTTATGTTATTTTTGTGCTTCCTTATGTCTCTCATTCGGTGATGCTTATTAAATATTTCTCGATCTGTATTTCCATTTTGTCTTTTTTCACACCGCGTTTCCTTTTTTTCCGATGTAACATAAAGAAGAATTTGAGAAATGAAAAAACAGTAAAAGTTTTCAATTTCCGTCAATGTCTATCAAGCAGGAGACATTCCTCGTATTTACGTACGAATATTTATTTTCATTCTTCTGCGTCACGTCTTATTATCAATATTATTAACAGTTGACAGTTTTTATTTCCTCCTCGGGAGTACATGCATGAAATACTTTGATACCGAGCTTTAAATACACAACTATCCTTTAGTCATAGTTCCAGTTTTTATTTGAATATTCATCAATAATCCTGAACGACTATTTATGATTTAAAATGTATTAATTGCTACAATTAGTTGAGTTCCCCTTTCGAAGTTGCTAGCCCCTTTTTCACAGTAATTTTTGGTCTGTACCACAATGATTCAGATTTGAAAAAAGTGTTTAAAATTTCCATGTGCACAATATTTTTCTGACACATACAACATCTAACACAGAAAATTGAAAGTTTTTGATGATTTCTTTTGATTTGATTC